AATACGATTTGCTTCAATCATTAGTTAAAACATGGACAATATCGACAACAGGAGAAAAGTAGCTTGTTACTTTCCTCCTCGGTCGCTTTTTTCTTGTATGTCAACAAAAAAGTTAAAACTACACAAATGTTAAATTGTTTGTTTAAGCACAACTTAAAGACAGATAATAAGGCTACAAAATAACGAAAGGCACATTTTGAAAAACAATAAAATTAAAGAAATACGAGACTTTGAAAATTTGAACGAAAACTTACTTTTGACGTTTTTTCTGCACGTCACACCGGAATCAGACCTAACCTTTCCTGTCAGGCTCGGACACACTATGGAGGAGGAAGGGGGAACAGTGCTGACTAAAAATATGTTTCAACCATGTCTATCCGATAATTTGTTTAAAAGTTATAAGCTTTGTTACTTTCCTCCTCTGTTACTTTCCTCCTCGGTCTCCCCTATATCATAATAATTTAGGTATCGAGAGGCATAATCAAGCGGAATTCAGGAAGAGCATAGGGACTATGGACCATATATATACGCTAAATTACCTAGTTAATAGAAACCTGGAAAAAAAGGAAGGGAAATTAATCGCGTTGTTTGTGGATTTTGAGGCGGCCTTCCCGTCAGTGTATAGGAGTATATTGTGGAGTGCACTGAAAAAGCAAGGTATAGATGAGGAACTGATTGAAAGGATAAAAGAGTTGTATGAGGATGACAGAGCGAGAGTGAAAGTGGTTGAGAAATTTGGGAGAGGTTTTTTTGGATGTGGAGGGGGTTCATGCAAGGGTGACGTTGAGTCCAATGTTGTTTAGCTTGTTGATTGCAGATATGGAAGAAAGACTGAGTAAAAGAGGGAAAGGGGGGGGGGTAATATTAGGAGTGGGAAAATTGTTTCGATGGCGTATGCGGATGATCTAGTATTGATAGCGAAGGAGGAAAGCGGTATGAAATTGATGATGAAAGAATTTGAGAAATATGCGAAAGAGAAAGATCTTTGGGTGAATGTGGAAAAAACGAAAATTATTAGGTTTATAAACAGAAAGAGTGAGAAAGAGGATGAATGGAAATTGAATGGCAAAGCGATAGAGGAAGTGGATGAGTTTTGTTACTTAGGATATTGGTTTAGATCTAATGGAGGAAAAGAATTGGGGATTTGGAAAAAGAAGGTTTAAGAATGACTGGAAGAAGATAATATGGCTGTTTGATGCGTTGGTTTGGTCGGTTTTGTGTTATGGGATAGAAATATGGGGATGGAAAGAGAGTGGAAAGTATGCATGAGAGGTATCTGAGATGGGTTATGGGTGTGAGTGAGAACTGTCCAGGGTATATGTTAAGGAAAGAGATAGGAAGAGAGAAGATGGTTGTAAGGCAGAGAAAAAGGGCATGGGAACTAGAAGAAAAATTGAAGCAAAAAAGAGGAAATGATTGGACAAAATTATGTTGGAAGCAAATAAAAGAGAGAGGAGAAAGAGGTGGGAGTGAAAGATGGAAATAGGAGAAAATGAGAGTAGAGGCATTGAAAGAAGGAAAAGGGGAGGAAAGAGGCTGGATGGAATTAGCGGAAGAATGGAAAGATATGGATGCAGAAGAAAGGTGGAAAAAGATAGGAATGTTGAAATGTAATAGATGGTTCAAAATGGTGAGAGAGGTAGGAGAACCTCAGTACTTAAGGATGATGAGAAAAGAGAGTAAGTGTCAAAGAATGATGAAATTTAGAATGGGAGAGGGAATGAAAGAGTGCAAGTATTGGTTGGGAAGGGATGAAAAACTGTGTAGACTGTGTGGATTCGAGGTGGAAGATTGGGACCATGTATTGGAAAGATGTGTAAAAGGTATGAATGAAGAGAATGATTGTTGGGGAGTAGTTGCAAAAGTGAGATGAATATTGAATGAGAATGGCAAATTGGCAACTCTGTTTGTCAATGCTTCGAATGAAAAAAATAGGAAATAAAGTTGGACAAGTTTTTATTTATTAAGGCCAGGTCCAAATGAGGCAGTGCCATCTATATTGAAACTAAAATTTTGGAAAATTTCCAACAGCCTTTTCTTGAAAACAAGAAGGTAAAATGCTTTTTTTTTATAGATAATTGATTATTAGCAAGAAATACACCAGCTAAAACTTTTTTTAGGTTAAAATGATGAACAAAATTTCATGTCAATAGATTAAATATGAGCACTTTTTTCACAAAAACTGTAACAGTACTTTCTCAGAAATTACAATCAAAAATGCAATTTCCATTTGGAAAATTAATAAACGCTAAAAAATACACTACCTAAGATTTATCAATCACGAAAATAACAAAAAAAAGTTTTTTAATATAACATATTTTACTACACTGAGAAAAATGCCGTCGTAACTTTACAACGTCCAACGTGACTCGAAAAATGTACCACGTCAGACGTTGTAAAGCTACAAAACGGACTGTTTCTGTTCAAAATATTGCAACTTTACAACATCAGACGTCGCTGTATTCCTAACCTCTGATTTTCTTACTATGTCTAACATTGTAACTTTACCAAAAAAATCATTTCTACCTTTTTCTCAGTGTAATTATGACAGCCGTTTGGCAGGTTATATATGTCACCAGACGTTTCGCGATTTTGCCGAAAGGAGGAGATTGGCGCTGTTACTAACCACCTGAAATACATTTAATTTTTGCAAATGGAAATTGCATTTTTTATTGTAATTTCTGAGAAAGTACTATATACTATTCAAAAAAATTTTTTTCGTTAACATATTTTGAAAGTCGATGAAAAACTGAAACTATTTTGTATCTTGGTCATAATTCCTAAATTCAATACTTTTAGAGTTAGATGTCATTGAAATTAGGTGTATTTTAAAATAACTCGGAAAAATCAGATTTTTAAAAATTTATAACTCAAAAATTTGAGCACTTATAATAAAATGAAAAAATACGTAAACCTTTTTTTCTATAAAGATCGAAAAAAAATATATTTACCCAATTTAAAATGTCATAGGTGAATCTCACGTGGAATCGCCCACATATATTATATTCAAGGTTAAGAATAGGTAGCGACGCTCGCATCAATCTGACGGTGCAAGTTTTTCGGCAAGGAGATATCGAGTGTGTCGTCTGCTGCGAGGGCCGATTGTCCCGCCGCCTATAGTTTGAAGTTTGCATTAGGAAATATTCAAAAATGCGGGAGATAAGAAAATTAATATAAAAAATTGAAAACGAAATCGGGGAATAGCTGCTATTTAAATAGATAATGAAAATTAACGTGAATCGTTACAATTTATTTTTTAATAATAAATAGATAAATAGATTTTTTTATAATGTAAAAATGTAATTATAATTCCGAAATTTTGCCGGTTAGTGGTCACCCTGAAAATTTAAGTAATAAAAAATTAAGTAATTTCTTTGGATATACTTCCGAAGTAGGGGTATCTCCGATCTTAATGAAACTTGGTATACTAACGTATTTTGGTGCGCTGATTACGAAAATGATAGTGAAAATTGGCGCAAATTTGATTATCATGGTAAAAACCATAAAAAACACCATAAAATCATGGTTTTTTTTACGAATATCTCGTAAAAAACAAAAAATTTCGAAAAAAGTTTTAGACAAAAGTTGTAGATCTCAAAAAAGCACACATTTTATGTTTTATGCACTTTTTACCAAAAGTCATTATTTTTCGAGAAAAATGGTCCAAAAGTAATTTGCGGAAATTGTGGGGTGGAGTGTACAGCAGCGGTAAATGCAAAATAGTAAACACGGCCTTCGGCCGCGTAAGGTACTGCTCGCTTTACTTTTTAAATAAACCTTGGCGAGAGGAGGTGGATATGGCCGAATGTATTTTGCGGAATTCGTTGGATCCTGAGTAATGGTGAATATGATACTATATACGAGTCAAATAATATGTCTAACCATGACTGCTGTATATGTTTTCATTATCATGGTGTTTTTCGTTTTTTGGATTTTTCTCGAAAAATAATGACTTTTGGTAAAAAATGCATAAAACATAAAATGTGTGTTTTTTTGAGATCTACAACTTTTGTCTAAAACTTTTTTCGAAATTTTTTGTTTTTTACGAGATAATCGTAAAAAACCATGATTTTATGGTGTTTTTTATGGTTTTTACCATGATACTCAAATTTGCGCCAATTTTCACTACCATTTTCGTAATCAGCGCACCAAAATACGTTAGTATACCAAGTTTCATTAAGATCGGAGGTACCCCTACTTCGGAAGTACACCCATTTCTTTTTTTAATTATTACCAGTGCTGTCTAGAGATTGTAAAGAACCATATCGACTACTCTGTCTAGAAGCCGGCCTCGAAGCTAGTCAGCTTGATGGACGACTTCTACCTTTAAATAAATACGCCAAAATTTTTTTTGGTGATACGTTATGAAAATTGTACAATGAAACCAGTAAACTTTATAATTATTTTCTAACGCATTAAAAATGGTGTTTTATCTTTAAAATTAAGTCATATGAAATGGTTTTTTTTTAAATAATGCAATATAATTAACCTTTAACTAGCACAATTCTGCTTTCGAACGTAAATAACACAACGGGTCTGTTGGACCCGACATATACAAACGTGTATTGTACAGCCGGTATTGAATATTTTTGCACAAAAATTTAATCTGAGGTAGCTTATGATGGGTTTTTTAAAATTTCATTAGTTTTACAGGGATTCATTTATTTTAAGTTTATTAACAAAATTGTGAAAAAGAAAAACGAAAAATTACGTGTTTTTACTTAAAAATTCATGAGTTATTTAAATTTTAATTTTATGACCTTTAAGGTCATGATGTATTATTCTTTAATGAAAAAATTACCACAACAGCAGGACTTGTAAAAAAGGTATTTATTTTGCAAGATAAAATGGGACCTCTTAGGTTAAAATAAAAAATTCATAATTATTCATGTTTGAAGCTAATTTATTCTTTTGTATCTAATTAGTTGTATCAAAAAACTTAGAAAATTACTAACAATGCAAAATTAATTAAGTAGGAAAACGTTACTTCACTGTTTATTGAGTGGAACACCTCATATCACCAGGGAGATTTTAATTTTAATTTTTCCAAAACCATCTAAGATGTCCATTAAATTGGGAAATGTAAGATCGTGTTAATTAGTTTTATATGTACTTTGCATCTTATTACATAAGCACCTTATCAAAGCAAAATTTGTAAAGTTTAATAATGAAAATACTTTACTGCATTTGATAATCAAATAACAATTTATTTATTAAAACCACATGAGTTTTCCGTTCCGAATTTTTCAATCTCTATATCTGATATGGTTACATACTGTAAACTATTACTTTTGAATTTTTAACTATTAACTAAATACAATAAAAAATTTAATGCCATATCTAAATAGTTTTAACTATAATAATTATATAAATATCATGTTTAAACTTATCTTTTGATAGTAAAATAATTTTAATCAACATTAATATTAACTGCAATTTAAAATCTAAATATTTTTTTAAAATTAAATATTTAAGAAAGATTATTTGAATATCCAAATCATTATTTCAGAATGCACGAGTCGAAATGCCATTTTATTCTTGTACAGACATCAATACAGTGAAATATGACATTGATGTTTGAAGAACCTTTAAGAAATTCCATAAAAATTAAAAACAGTTGCATTTTTGCACATCTTTTGGAATTAACCAAACGGTACCATATTTTACTAAAAAAAAAATATTGCTAACACTACAATTTTTAAAAATTTAACGAAAAGTGAATTTAAATTTTCTTTTATATTTTTCATACCTTTGTAAAAGTTTGAAATGAGAGTACAAATATTCTGCCAACAACGAATGTAGTGGGTTTGCATTCTCTAATCATTATTATGAGTAAAAGTTTTTTTGTTTTCATTGATAGATTGAACCAGTCTGAATTGTATCTAAGAAAATAAATTTTTAATTTTATTCACTTTGCTATAGATAGCATTGCAATGTGAAGATATCAAATAGTGCTTTTTTAAATATCTAAAATTTATAACAATTATTTGTTTACGAGCGCAATTAGCTAAAAAAAACAGCACCCATTCATAGTACTAAGCTATACTCTCGTAGTTAAAATAATGCACTTAGCTAAAAACCTTGTAAAGTATAAATTAATGTTTTGATCATGTTTACTATTTTCCTTAAAAAAAAATATAGGTATTATAATAATTAAAAATAAGCTGTACATTGAGCTAGAGAGACTAAGGCTGTTATCCAGTAGATGCTGCGTTGGCAGAGTTAAAAAGAATATATGAAACACTTGACATATTGCGTATGTTCCAAATCTTATACCAGCCCCAGAACCCTTCGCACTCATCACATACTGAATCACATAAGATAATATAAATTCCTTTTTTTTACTAATATACATGTATAAACTTTGTTTATCATTAAAAATTATTTACCTGGACTCCTGTGATGCTTAAATCTATAATACTGAGCCCAAATATGAAAAGATAGGCCGTTGATAAAACTTCCTGGACATCATTGACAAATCTCGCAATATAAAATACTTTAATTAATTAATTTCAAATTATACATTTATTTTTTAATAGTAATTTAAACTGAAGATTGCAAAAATTTTTTAGTTAACGACTTTTAAGCAGCTTTGCTTTGCATTCCACAGTTTTTAGTGAGGTTAGAAATTTAAAATATATATGAAATTTCTAAAATACAAACAATAAAAGTCTTCTGTGCATTGACACACAAATTTTAATTTCGCCCTGTAGCTTCTTTTGAAAACTGACATTATTATTGGAATCAGGATTTTCTTTTATGGCAGTAGTCAATTTATGTCTGTGAACAGTAAATGAATAATAGACTTATTTAATACTACAATTATAAAAGGCAGGAAATTCAAAATGGAAATAAATTAGTGCCAGGAATGTAAAAAACAGTTTTTAATATTTTTTTGTATCCTGGTAGCAAATTTTGCAGAGAATCAACATGTTTACTCTTTAAATGTGAATAAGTGAAAATTTACAAATGGTATGTCAATATTCCCAGATAGCACGGAAACTTGAAGCGAGCTTGCGGCAAGCTTACCGTACAAGCTTGCTGCATGCTTGTCTGAGCTAGCGAAATGTCCCACCCAGGGCAAGCTTGCTGTAAGCTTTCCAGGAAAGGTTGCTGCAATCTTGCCATGAAAGATTGCTACAAGATTGCTGCAAGCATACTAAGAATGATTGCGGCAAGCTTGCTACGTAAGGTTGCAACTGTTTTTCAACTTATAAAAACAGTCGAGGATTAAGAGCAAGATTTTTTTATTCTCTGATATTTGGTCGAGTAGGTTCAGGGGTTAGGGTCTTTGGTTAGTGTCTGTCGAACCCGGGTTCAATTCCCAGTCCTCTCAAATTTGTTTCGAAAATTTTCTCGTTAAGTTTCCAAATGAAAATAAACAGGACATAATTAATAATAATAAACGTCACAAGGATTTTCAAATTTAGAAAACAAATAAATTTTTTAAAAATTTAAAATGTATTTTTTAAAAATTGCAGCAACCTTTCCAGAAGCTTGTTGAAATTCTCCTGCAACCTTACGTAGCAGGCTTACAGCAATCTTTCACGGCAAACTTGCCGCAATCATTCTTTCCTTTCCTGGAAAGCTTTCACGGCAAGCTTGCCCTGGGTGGGACATTTCGCTAGCTCAGACAAGCTTGCCGCAAGCTTACTGCAAGTTTCCGTGCTATCTGGGTTTATTAATTTTAAGAGTTCTTCATTTTTAAAAGTGAATATTGAATGTACAGCAGTGAATCGTCGAGTCATCTATCGTATTTTCTTCCAACTGTCAACAGTACTAGACCTTGGAAAAAAAAAGGAATCGAGATTGTAAGTATTCAGCTGTTTTGTAATGAAAGTGTTGTAACGATAGCATATTTGTTAACTATACGGCATACAATAAGAGAAGTTGATTAGCCAGCACTTAGAGAGAAACTGACGACGGCGCACCAATGTCGCGTCTGTCTCCCCCACCTCTCACGGTCATCCCGCTGGCTGGCAGCGAAGGCTATATAACTGTCCGCACGCATCTTTTCTCTCAGTTCGTCTTACGACTTGCATTGATGCTGATTCTACACTCACCTAAAACTGTGCGAGCAGTCCGCATTTGCGTTACGTTTTTTATATATATAGATATAGTTAAATATGGGAAGCGTCTCTACATCCTCTCTCAGAAACTTCTACGACTTCTAAGTCGCGGAGACGGTACTCCAGAATCTTGGTTACGACGTCATACTCGCATCCTCTCGCAGACGATCTTACAGAGAGTTCGTGAAGACGAGGAACAAAGAAGTCAAGGAGGTTCTGTTAAGACGGTGACTTCCATAGTCAAAAATACCTCCCTTTGCTTTATCTGTATTCAATAATACAGGGAGGCAAGAGGGAGTTCTTTTCCAGTTGGCCAGAGTAGCTCCTCTAGGAGAGTCAAATGGCGACTGAGGTAAAAAGTGCGAGTCGGCAGTTATATACTATCACTGGAAGCTAAATGACAGTGAGTGGTGGGGGAAGAGTGGCATTACTAGTAACGCTTTCTACTGCCATTCTTCGCAGGGCTACTAGACTACGATACCAGGGGCGTAGCCAAAAATAAGTAGACCTTCTCGTGGTGGCGGGGCTTTTCACTAAAGGACATCGCAGAGTCGAAATCCAGTGACAACAGTGCTGCAGTATTGGACACCTTGGGTCCTGCAGCATCCAATGCCACAAGGAGTATTGACCATGTGGGAACCTATAGGTTTTTAATGTTTCCCTGGTCCGTTTAAAAAATAAAAGATGTTTCGGTCTCGCTACCTAAATTACCAAACACACAATTCGTATTTTGCCAGTATAGCGTACAATACCAAGCCAAGCTAAGAAGCTAATGATACATGTAACTATTATTATTTAATTTTTAACGTCATTTGAAAATGTGGCAAAAGACTAGATTATTTAAAACTAAAAGTCATAACTGTCAAAAAATGTTCAATTTATGTTTAAAATGTGAAAACAATATATATGTATAATTTAGTTTACCCTAAAATTTCAAATATTCCACAAGCATGCTCCAAGAACATATAGAGAAGTGTATCTCCATTAACAAACGCAACAGTACAAGCAAATGCAGCTACATAATTGTGAATTGATATCGAATAATAGTATTTTTCTGCATCTAAACCATACTCAAAGAGAGTATTAGCCGGTCGATGCTCATGATTATTTCTAAAAAGGTTAATCACTAGAGGAATAAGATGTGAAAACACATAGATTGTAGCATGACCAAATGATCCAACTGAAAAATGAAATTGATTAAAAAGAGACAGAAAAATTAAAATTTATTTAATAAGTAAAATAAGAAAGTTATATTTAGTTAGAAACACTTATAAATTTTTATTAAATTTTCTAATAATTAAATTGTTATTCTGATAACGAAATATCTACTAAAGGATAGTATAGTGTAAAATCTGCATTGTCTTCCATATTTATGTAGAATATCAACTTCACGTTTTGATTTTAATGTCTCCCAGTCGTTTTGCATTTTTCCAAAAACAACATTCATCTATAAAGAAATTGTAATGATTTATATAAATATCTGATAATTAAAAAGTAATATTAAAAATACAATTATTTAAAACTGTTAAAGGAGTGGCCTGCTTTGCATAATTCAGAAAAACAATGTTTCTATTACTGTAATATTTACATTTATTAATTCGAATTTCTGATTAAAAATATAAAAATTATAGCCTCAGTAAAATTTATGTTTTATGATTTGAGTTTGGCGTTTTCAAAGAAAATTAAAGTGGATGTAAAATGCCTGCGTTGCAGAATATTATCTTCTGATCTTATCAAGCAGGTCACCTCTTCGCGAATGTTCTATTAAGTTAATTAATTTGACTGTGTTTGTTTTCTTACATTAAAATATTAAATAAAATTTAAACTTATTACTTGTTTTACTTTCATAATGTTATTTATAAAAATAATTGCACTTATTGAACTATAACATACTGGCGGAATGCACAACAACATCAAGTCAATATTACCAGATACTTTTATGAAACCTGAAATCTAATTTTATTAATGTTTATACAAAATTTAAGATAACTGTAGTTAAATATAATATTACCTGAGCAATAATAAAAGAAATCATAATAAACAAATAAAATAATTTTATTAAGATATTTAGCCACTTGGCCTGATATTGACTTTGTCCTGATACAATTATAGTATATCTGATAATATTGTAATACGGATTTTTTATTATGTCCATTTTTTTTATGCTTACACAATGATAGCTGAATGTAATATGAGATGTATGACTGCTTGTAAGCTTTCACACGTTCCTTGCACGAATCCATAGTGGGTATTTAAATATTCATGCAGATGTAGAATTTCCTTAGATCTGTAAACGAAGGTATCATTAAAATAATTGCCGTTTTTGTATGTTAACTTAAATAGTGGTGACTGTAATTATAATAATGACCAGTTGAAAAGCTTTCAGTTATATATGAAAAAAAATTTAATCAATGCGGTTGCATTATAGCGTCTATAGACTCTGTAGACAAAACTAAAATACAAATCAGTTTTCTTGTAATTTTTGTAGACACAACACAGTACACAGAGAGAAAAAAAAAGTTCCAACTGCTTTCTTTTAAGTAGTCATGTTGATTTTATAAAGTCAAGTAATTATAACCAGGGAGCCAGGCTGTTTTGACTTGGGTCTTTAATTGCAGCTATTGTTGTTCTCAGGCGATACCGACCAAGCTTTTTCCTGCTCAATTGATACTACTTGAGACAGCCAGGCCAAAACTGCCTGGCTACCAAATTATACTGACTTGTGTATCGGTAGTTGCGTTCACGCCTGCGTCGGTCAAGTAGTTTCAACCGGAGTCTCCGGTTGTTGCAACCTAATTTTTCTCTTCCTGTACATGGGAGTATTTCACCTATTTTAGATAAATAAAAATATTATATTTCTGTCGTCACTTCCTCTTACTTATTATTTCAAATCCCATACAGGACGCGTATTGGATTAATAGCTATAATTTTCTTACCATGATACTCAGTCATTTATATACTCATCCCAGAACAAGCCATATAATAAAGCTTTTTATGGCCATAAACTTCCAAGACAGATATTTGGAACCCGTACTCCTAAGTTATGTGATAATGAGCGTTCTTGTTCGGGGGTGATATTTTTGAAATGAGTTCCTTCCACAAATCGGAGACTTTTGAATGACTTTGTCGAAAACCGTATTCTCGAACTGCTCACTGAGCGTTCGTAGACGAAACGATTCAATTGAAATACATCGAGGGGTCTTGACCACTCGAAGCAAGAGTTTCGTGTTCGAATTTTGGAACTGCTCATGCACAGTAGTAATATTTACTAATTTTGATGTATACATATTTAAAAGGATTCAAACTAAATCCCGCTTACACTTGCAGAACTACACTGAAAAAATTTAGTGTCACTGCCGTAACAGCGATTGTCGCTAGTTTGCTAAACAGAGTGTAGCGCCTCTCTCGCTTTTGGAATATCTGCCTTCTTTTATGGTAGCACTTGCGTGCCGTGGGAGACCGCTCCGATACTTTTTTTCTACTACCAGCATTCCCATTGAAAAAAGGAAGCAGCAATTCAAAAATCTGTATCGCTGCGCTTCTTTTTGGCAATGCAGCATTCCGATAACGAAGCAGCAGCCTACCCAAAGCAAGAGAGTTGCAACGCTACGGGTACTGTGGTGCAAGCGACACCAAATTTTTTTCAGTATACCTTCCAGCTTTCAACTCCGTTAGCGGAAGAAGTCCCCTTTATGCTTCCTTACTTCAAATCCATAAACTGGAGATAAGCAGAACTGGGAGAAGATCAAGAAAACGGGTTCTTCTCCTCCTTCCACGGAAACCTAGTCAAGCATTAGGATTTCTCCAAGGTAACCTCGTTCTATTAACAAAATTCTTAATCTTTATTACTTGAATGATAAATGACTTAATACTCCAAGAGTCAGCGCTTCTAACCATAATAAGAACCATGTTTTTAACTCTGAATTTATTGCTTACAGACGAAAACATGTTATGGTAATACAGAATTTGAGGTTCCGAGTCTCTGTTTTGTAATATCAGTTTCTCACTCGGACGCTTTTATTTTCATTTTCAGATTCAAGGCAAAGGACAGTGTGAACACAGAAGCTCAAGAGACGACTCGGAGTTCGGACCCTAAATAGAAAACGGAACAATATGTATACCGTAAAGCAAAGGAGAAGAGATGATGTAAAAGACTGCAAAAAGAGACTCTTTTTATACATTTTCTATTCCACATTGATTCTCTGTACACCGAGTTTTTGTTACTTTTTTAGTTTAAGTGGTCAAGCTAAACAATCTACAAGAGAGCACCTGTCCGTTAAAGTTGCGCAGCTCACGGTGGGCTTGAACTGAGGATTGAACCAACTTTTAATCGAAGATTTTAGCACATCAAATTTTTTGTGAATTTAAGTTCTTTGGGTCCTAAATAGTGTTTAAAAAATTATAGCCCATAACTTAATGTCGAGCTATTTTTTAAAAAACTCATTTTAAAAAAATGCTTGTTTAAAATTTATAATACTGTCTATAAAACAATTCAAATTTAAGCAATCACATTTATTACCTTTACACTTTTTAGAAAATATAATAATATAAGTAAAAAAAATATATTTTGGATATAACATTTCTTTGATAAATTTTCAATATTTTATTGCATATTTATACAGTATTTTTTTATGCTGTAGAATCGTTACATTCAGATTTTCAAACAACATGAGCCAAATACAAAGTTTCCAATCAGCATTTAGAATATCCATCTAAATTACTTCGGGCAGTTCAAAAATACAAATCTAAATACACATAAACATTTTATTTCAAATAACAAACAAGATTCACTACCGTCGGAAATTGTTGGTACGGCTGACGTTCGAGGAGTGGAAATTTGGCGCTGACTTTAAAGCAAAATATTTCAAGTTAGAAAAAAGTTAGAGACTTCTAACTTAGATGATTGGAAAGCTGATAAAATTCTGCTTCTGAATGTATATCAAGAAAATTTTTTTATTTTTTTTTTGGTATTTATAACACCGAAAAGATTTCAAGAAAAAATTATGCAATTTTCCTACTTTCGTACTAATGTATTTGACTACCGGCATAATCTAAAATAATATATGGAAAAATTTGACAATTTTACAACATAATCTTTAGGGTCTTAGCTTTTATATTTTGCTTTAAAGTGTCAGCGCCGAATTTTCACTCCTCGAACGTCAGCCGTACCGATAATTTACGACGGTAGTGTATTTGTGAGAGAATTGGTATTATCGCAAGAGCTGTATAAATATGCAACAAAATATTAAAAAATTTATCAGAGAAATGTTATATTACTTGAAAAAAACTAAATTGTTATAAATAAAGGTAATAAATGTGATTTTTTCGTTACTACCGGTAGTCACTATCGGTAATTTTTCCGGGACTACCGGTAGTCACTACCGGTAGTCATTACCGGTAATTTTTCCGAGAGTTACAATCAAAATTTGTTATTTGGTAATAAATTCACTACCGGTAGTCATTACCGGTAATTTTTCCGGGAATTACAATCAAAATTTATTACGAAATAACAAATTTTGATTGTAACTCTTGGAAAAATTACCGGTAATGACTACCGGTAGTACTAGAAAAATTATTGGTAGTAACTACCGGTAGTACCGGAAGAATTACCGGTAGTGACTACCGGTAGTCCCGGAAAAATTACCGGTAGTGGCTACCGATAGTCCCGGAAAAATTACCGGTAGTGCCTACCTGTAGTTTCGGAAAAATTACCGGTAGTGGCTACAGGTAGTCCCGGAAAAATTACCGGTAGTGCCTACCGGTAGTCCCGGAAAAATTACCGGTAGTGTCTACCAGTAATCTAGGAAAAATTACCGGTCGTGACTACCGGTAGTCACTACCGGCAACTTTTCCACCTGGATACTTAAAATTGAATTGTATTATAGCCAGTATATTAAATTTAAAAAAACTTACTTTTTTTAAAATGAGTTTTTTAAAAAACAGCTCGACAAGTTATGGAATATAATTTTTTTTATTCACTATTTAGGACCCAAAGAACTCAAAATCCACAAAAAAATTGATGTGCTAAAATCTTCGATTAAAAGTTGGTTCAAGCCCACCGGGAGCTGCACAATATTTTAAAATTTATAATATTCATAAACGAAAAAATATTGCGTTAGTGAGGGTACCTATGGAATTTTACTATATTCTAAATGTTTTCTACTTTCCACTAGAAAATGCAATGGAATACAACAAAATCCTTTGTGCATATCGGATTTCGAGATTTAATGTACACAACGCAATCCATCTAAGGTGGAGTGCATATGTGGTAACAGACTTGCAAAATTTCATAATATTATTTACCTTCTTCAAAAAAAAAAAGCTTTTTTTATTGAAATGTTGAAAAAAATGTTCCGTTTGATCAGAAAAATGATTCCACAAAACGAAAAAAATGATTTTCTATACAAAAGTTATTGCAAAAAATTATGTAGCGCGGTTTACCTCTACTGCACAAATAAATTTTAACAGTTTTTTTTATTAATATTAATGATCATAAAATAAACTTTAAAATTGCGTTTACTACTTAATATTTATCTTTTAATTTTCTCATATAATTTAAATTCATAACATTACTCTATATAGAAAATAAACAAGTAATTTATTTCTTAAATTTCAATAATTACGATGTTGAAATGTTTCATAATTTTGAAATTTATATGACATAAAACTGTCAACTTCGTAATTATTGATTTTTATACAAGTTTTAAAACATCTCTTTTATACCAATTATTATAAATAAAAATTATAATAATAATACTTAAGTTTTATTTAAATCCGTTAAACTTTCAAAATTTGTTTAATATATTGGATCCGCCATTTTAAATCTCTATAATCTGACTATAGATACATGATGATTTGATCATCTGCAGTCTTAGTCAAAGACGTATATGTATTCTTTATTTGAGCTTAGTCATAATAAGTCTTATTACAAATATAAAAAGCTACTATGTCTTCACTATAAGGTACATGAGGTACTCCCATGTAGTGTTGTGTCTATGAAAATTATAAGATAAATGATTCCTTTCTTATTTGCATCTACAAAATCTATAGACACTATAGTGTAACAGTATTAATTTTTTCTTTCATACAAAGTTAAAACTTTTTGCAACTTATTATTAAATTAATTACAGACTCTCCAATATTTGAGTTAAAATGTAGAAATGGCAATTATTATAATTATAGGTAAGTCTAACAGTTCTTAGGATTCACATCGTTATAACATAAATATTTAAATACTCTCTCTGTATTGATTAATACAAAGAGTTAAGGTGCACTCTAGAAGAACTAAACTACATTACTTTTTGTCAATATTGTAAATGCACCGAAAAGATGGACATAATAATAAAGCCGCACTACGATATTACAAGATTTTTCATAATTTTTACAGGATTAAGTCGACATCATCCTTTGTGGTTCAATTTTATACCACAATCAATTTTATTTTTTGTCTTCTTCACATTTTTAAGTGTTCAGGTAATATTACATTTATTTACAGTTTTTTTTTAATGTAATACAAACATTAATAAAATTAGATTGCAGGAATGACAGAAGTATTAAATGATATTGACATGGTATTGGAGTGCTTTCCACCAATATTATATACTTTAATGGGTTTAATTCTTTATATAAATGTAATGGTGCATGCAAAACAAGTAATCAGTTTAAATACTTTGTTTTGCTTTTTCAAAGGATAATTTTTAATTTGATAATATAAAATTTCTTGCAATTAATTGTTATAAAAGAATTTTATCTGTAATTGTGAATTTTTAACATTAAGTGGATTCTACATAAACCTGTTATAAGATTTTTTTGATGGAATGGGATTTGTTCATAAATTGGCTTAAGTGACACTACTATGGTGACTAAAATTTACACCAAGTATTTTTTCAAATTTTTCAATTATCCGAAAAATAATATAAAAAAAGGATATGACATTTTCAATATTGAAAAACTAACATCAAATTCGTAATCGAATTTAAATTACGATTTTTATAAAATTTAGGTATCAAAGAATAATTTATAATAGTTGAGAAAGGTTTTTTTCGTTTGCTGAAAAATTGGAGTTTCTTTGTGTTTTAAGAAATTAATTTTTCGAGATAGAAGAATATGGTTAAATCCCATTCAATCATGAAAATGTTATTACACTGCCCTGCATCGATTTTGCGAATAACATGGAACATATTGTTTCCGAACGGATTTTTTGTGCTGAACACGAATCCGGGGTCAAAAATTTCCCATCACGTCACGTTTTCGAGGAAATAGAAGTTGAAACCCCACAAAACAGGGTTTTTGGCCATTTTTGAAAAATTATACAGCGGAAACCTGACGTGGTATAAACTTTGCTGATATCAGAAATTAAATGTTGGTTCACGCCCTTTCAAACGAGCCCTATTCGAAATTGATCGCACTCACCCTTAGAGCAGGGGGTGTGTTTTTTTCTAGGGGTTCACAAAAAAAATGTCAACATAACATAAAAATTCAAAATGGATAACAATTCAATAAATCATTTTGAATTTTTGAAATCTGACTTCAGATTCGTTATCAGCGACCCCAAAAACCCCCGAGTGACCATTTTCAAGTGAATTGTTTAAAATTTTTAATTTGACATCCGCCATATTGGATCCGCCATGTTGAATTTTTGCAATCTGACTTCAGATTCGTAATCAACGACCTCGAAAACTCCTTAACTATGATGATTTATTGAATTGTTACCCATTTTGAATTTTTATGTTATGTGTACAATTTTTTCGTGCACCCCTAGACAAAAACACACCACCTGCTCTAAGAGTGAGTGCGATCAATTTCGAAAAGGACTCGTTTGAAAGGGAGTGAACCAACCTTTAATTTCTGATATCAGCAAAGTTTGTACCACGTCAGGTTTTCGCTGTATAATTTTTTAAAAATCTCCAAAAACCCTGTTTTGTGGGATTTCAACCCCTATTTTCTCAAAAATGTGACGTGATAGGAAGTTTTTGACCCCGGATTCGTGTTCAGCACAAAAAATCCATTCGGAAACATATTGTCCCGTGTTATTCGCAGAAAAAAATTTGAAATTTGCTGGGCAGTGTTATTAGTTGACGTGGAGTCCATTATGAGGATCATTATTTCTCGTAATTTTTTAGTTCCTTCTAATTTTTCAGTAACCATTTCCTTCGAGGAAGCGAAATATTCATAAAATGAATATAGTTTTTATGAATGAAAGAAAGACTCTTTTTTTGCTAAAAATTTCTATATAAGATCGTGAACATTGTTCCGTACAAGTTCAGAAGCTGAACTTCTACCAATTATGGTATTTCCTATGCAGGAAATTATACATGTTCAGCATAAGATCTGTATAATTTTGAAATCCTACTTCCAAGTCAGATATCTGGGGCCTGTACTCCTAGTTTATGTGGATATGACTGCTCCTATTCTGGTCGACCCACTATAAACCAAACTGTTTTTGAGACTTATCTCCACTGACGGAACTGTCGTTAAGTTTTGCACATCGCAAGGGGAGATTTCCTTACCTTGCTGCCTTACCAAAATCCTTAAACTAAATGCTAGCGGATAAGGGGGGAAATCTAAGTCTCCTTTGTCTTCCACGAACACCTAGACTAGCCACGGGAATTCTCCAGCGTAACCTTATCTTCCTGTCGTTCTCCTTAGTCCTCATTACTTACGTAATGAATAACTCAACATCTCTTCAAGAGTCCGCACTTTGCAAAATAAATGAAACCATGTTTTCAGCTGTAACTTCAGTGTCCACAGCCGAAAACATGTCTTGCCTCGATTCACGTCAGAGTCCACAGAAAAAGAGCCTGTGCACCGCGTTGTCAATGTATGCTGCTTCGTCGTTGCCAGAACCGTTGCAGTACACACATTTCGCATCTGTTTCTAATTTAAATCAACGAAAGTACTGACCGAAACAACAATGACTCGACAGCGCTTACGTAAGGTAATAAATAGCGATGCTCCATAGAGATCGGGTATGGAAAAACTGCCACTATAAGGTCCATAGGACCAAAGCCACGTTAAAAGAAGACCGAATGCTATTCCAGGAGGAGACGGTTAGCATTGTCATCTTTCGCCCGTGTAAGATTTGGAATCCTTGAGCGGGAGAAGGAAGAAAAAGTACCAAGTGGGGACTTAGTAGAGGTTCTGTCTCCGAGCTAAGCTGCACTCTCCGATGTTATGGTTGGTCATCACACTATCATTCATTCATATATAACCATACGAAGACACATTCAGTCACTATAAAAAAAACAAAACCCACCATCAATAACCCCGGGAATTACAAAAATAACCCACCACCAGAACAAAAGGAACATAAAACCAACGCATTAATATTTCCTGCCGAACCAAACTTTTGATTATTCAGATGCTGCTGGATTTTTGCATGTGCATTATTCTTCCCGCTGGATCACTGTTTCAAGTGGTCAATGCGGGAAGAATGTTGCCCTCCCTTTTTAACTATCTGCCGAACCAATGATGGAGTGCAGATGGATTGTTGTTTTCACTTTTGCATTAATCTTGCCTAACGGACCAATATTACAATTATTCTGGTGCAGGAACATCGGGAGAATAGTCCTTAAGGACCCAGGTATCCCAGTCGGCCTAAACGATGGAGCGCAATTCTGATCTGATGCAGGCAGATTTTGCTCTGACATTAATCTTTCTCGCCGGACTACTGTTTTAAAGTGGCGAGATGGGGAATCAGGCAGTAATTCCACCTTCCTTTTGATTCCACATCCCATCTCTCCAGCCATCTTTGAACGAGGCTGTATCTGTACTCTCCTCGTAATACCAGTTTGAGTCTATCGATACTTTCTAAAGTATCTGTCAGATCTTTGTTAAGCTTGAAAACTTCCTGCCTTTTTATCATCAATAAATCTATTGGCGGTAATCTAGCAAGTACTAGAACAGCGTAAGTAGACATCGTTCTAAAGGTTAACATTATTCTACGTGCTGGATCTCTCTCAGTCCTTGAAAGATTTACCATGCATTAGGTGGCTTTGAGTGTTGTGATGTTTTTGTTATCTAAAACTTAATTGTTTGTTCAAAATCTCTCCCAGGTACTTCAATTGACTCCTCAATGGGACTTCAATTTCACCTATTTTTACCTGTAGGAGTTTGAAGTCTTTCCGGTTTGTGACAAGTAATACTTTGGTTTTCTCGAAGGCCATTTTCTTGTACAAAAAAACGTCTATGTGTATGTTCATGCATTTTAGTGTAATACTAAAAATGAAAACTTTAAAGGCTGCGTAGTCGGTTTTTAAGGCATTTACAGCTGCGCAATAGCTTTTACTAGTAGAAGTACATGCATGTAAAGTTGTTCTAATTTCTTATACTGAAGATGTACAATTTGCAGTACAGTAATTGACCAAAACTGGTAGAAATTTAGTTACTGAACTTAGATATACATACATTTATCATATGACATTTCTTTGTAGATAAATGATGTCTTCTATAAGATGCGCGATGACTGGGACACATTAACATCAGAATATGAAGTTGATATTATGAACAAATATGGAAGAAAATGCAGATATTTAACTATAATATATATTAGTATATATTTTGTTATTAAAATAATGAGATGTTCAAAAAATTATATAAATTATTTATTTTTACTTTTAAATATAACTTTATTCACGTTTTTATTTAAAAAAGAACATTCTTTTTCTACTTTTTTTATCAATATCATTTTTCAGTTGGAATGTTTGGACATCTTGCAGTCTATCATTTATCACATGGTTTGCCTGTGCTGATTAACCATTTTAAAAAAAATGATAAACCTAGGCCATATCTTTTTATTCTTAAGTTGGGTGATTTTCAAAAACATTACGTATTGGTATCGTTTTACAGTTATCTAGCTGGTTACGTTGGTAGTTTTGGGATGGTAAATGGATATACAATTCTTTTAATGTTTCTTGAGCATGCTTGTGGAGTATTTGAAATTATAGGGTAAACTTAATTGTTGAAATTTTTATACAGAAAAATAATTTGCAATTAGCTTGCAATTCACCAGATTTACAGTACCGACAAAAGCTCGAATTTTTATTGTCAAAAAACTGACCTTTTCTTCCGTTTTAAATTTCTAGTCATGTAATGGCGAAAAGTTTGGTATGCATTTGGTGATTTGTTTCCTGAATGCAATTAATACAGTCTTAATATTTGTGTTTATAGATAATTTAAGAATATTATATTGTGCAATAAATGAATTTTATTGGCGATTTTGAGTGTTTTAACGATAAACAAACTCAAAGATACCCGTGATGATTTAAAGATCATTTTATATTGTAAAGGAGAAAAGTAAATGATGCTTTCTCTGCGAAGTTGTCAGTACGAATGCGTATAACAGCGATCGTGGCGCGTCTTTTTTATACCCACATCTCACTCGTTTTCTCCCACTATTACTTTCCGACTACATAGTGGGAGGTCTCAATCTGAAATTTCCCATTCAACAGTCAGTATTAAATACATTAAATAAATATATTGTTCACAGGCACAGATTGACTGTTATCATACAAGAGAATCCTGAATCTATTAATAAAGTTGGTTCTCGAAAAAAGCTTCAGAGGGAAATTAATATTTGTGTAACAATGCATAGAAGAGTTTTATTGTTCGTATAACAAAAATTTTACATAAAATTAACTAAATTAAGATTGTTGAATGCAGATCATTGAAGTTACTTAAAATCGAAGCTAAAAATGATCTGCTATCTACTGTCAAAATTATTATTTTGAGAATTAATTTTAAAAATATTAAACTACTTGATTTATATTAATTAAAATATTTTACTTTTCGAGATTTATCAATGATATTCAAAATATTTTTTCAATTCCCTATCTTTTTGTGTTTGGGTTCAGTGTAATTATGTTGAGCATTTCAGGAGTCCAAGTAAGTAATTTAAATTGAAAAAAAGAAGTTTTTCACATGAAAAAAATATATATCATTTATAAAGAGAATACAAATGTAAATTTTAATTTTATTATATAATTCAGTCTGTGTTGAGTATGAATAGAGATGCAAGAGATTCCGTAAGGTTTGGAGTTTTTACAATTTGTCAAGTGATGCACATATACATTTTAACTATCCCAACGCAGCATTTACTGGACAACAGCCTAATTCTTTCTACCTGCATGTACAACTTATTTTTGAATTATTAACTTCATATTATAATGTGCTGTGAGGAATAAAATCAAAACTAAACATTAATTTTATTAGATACGACACAAATTGGTACCATCTATCAACTGAAGGAAAAAGATTATTGCTCATGGTAATGAGAAAAGGATCTGAACCTACTACATTTATCGTTGGCAAAATATTCATACTTTCATTGCAGTTTTTTACAAAGGTATGGTTTTATAAATTAAATATAGAAATAATTTTTTTTTCGAATTATTATTGAAAAATTAGCATTAACTGTTATTTGCAAATTCTTTTTATAAATAATTTCCTTTTTGAAATTTTACAATTTTTTTTTTGCTTGTGTGAATTGTATTTAATAATTATTAAATTGTTTAAAGGTTCTTCAAACATCAATGTCGTATTTTACTGTATTAATGTCTGTACGAGGATAAATCGAAATTACTGCCCTTGGATTATAATATTATAATGATTTGGATCTTTAAATAGTCTTTTCTCAAGTTTTAGGTAAAAGATAAAACATTAAGAGCATTGCATATTGTAGAGAAACAGAATGTGAAATTAGTTAAAATACATTTAATAGGAATTGTGCTTCTTTAAATTGTAATCAAGAATTTAAAAAAAATTCTGTAGCTCTTTATGTTGAAACACAATTGTTTTAAAGTAAATAAAATTGATTATAGAAACTGTTAATAGATTTCGTTTTTTTTTCTACAATTTATATAGGACACCTTTATTTTTATTTAAAGAATCATAGAAAGATCAAGATAAAATTTTAACGGTTAACATGGTTAAGGTTGCTATGGAAACGGTTGTAATGATTACGGTTGTTATGGAAATTGTTACCATCACAACCATACAAGTGTACGACGGACTGACAGACGGACGTCAAAGCGAAACTATAAGGTTTTCGGGCCTGATCCATGAAACCCTAAAAATATAAGGTGGTGAAAGTATTTCACCAAAATTTCTTTTCCATTTCTTTTGTACACTGTCCAAGTATTGATAGAGAAGATACTTATTAATTTTGTATTAAGTGTAAAGATTTTAGCTCAGCTTTGGAAATCTCGTTTTCGATTTTCTAAGTAGGTCTTTAAAAATGCACAACAGTGATACAGAAGCTTTAAAGAAGAAGTACCCTATGATTATAATAATTGCATTAATTACAGGATTTACATCTCATTAATGTATAAGGTTTGAATCAATTGTATTGATTATTTTTAAATATAGGTCACTTATAGTCAGTCGTAATCTAACTTTCGTAGCATCAGCACTTCTATAGACCATTAAAAGCTCTTGGTGCTGATAACTCTTTGCAGTTGTCAAATTATCCCTACTATAAGAATATATTTAAATATATAACTATTTCCCATAGTTCTCACCAGACGTCGGATCTGATACTTTCTCATGATGATGGTCGTTAGCAACTGCAGGAAGTAAAAGCATAAACAAAATATTATTTATCACTGTAGGCTTGTGCCAACTGTTAATCGAAGATTTTAGCACATCAATTTGTTTTATAGATTTGAGTTCTTAGGGTCCTAATTCTAAATGCTGATTGGAAACTTTTTAGTTTGCTCAAGTTGTTTTAAAATCTGAATGTAACGATTCTATAACTTTCTCGCTCTAGAATTCTAGTCTTTTACCTTCTTTTTCACAAAATTGAGAAACATGAAAAAATACTTTATAAATATGAAATAATCTTGTGAAAATTTATCAAAGAAATGTTGAATTACTTAAAAACTGAATTGTTATATAGTCAAAATAATTTTTTATTGTTTTACTGATATTATATTTTATAAAAGTATAAAGTTAATAAATGTGATTGTTTAAATTTGAATTGTTTTACAGCCAGTATGTTAAATTTTAAAAAAGCATTTTTTTTTAATGAGATTTTTAAAAAACAGCTCGACAAGTTATGGGATATAATTATTTTATACAATATTTAGGACCTAAACCACTCAAATCCACAAAAAAATTGATGTGCTAAAATCTTTGATTAAAAGTTGGTTTAAGCCTACCGTGGTATTTCTTGTATTTAAAATTTATTTTAAAAACAAAGTAGTTATAATACTTATAAATTAAAAAAAATTTAAATTGGTAAATTCTTCAGATATATGTAAAGTAAATACATCACATAATTGCATAAATGCAGTCCTTCCGATTTGACGGCATTTTTAAAAGTCGTACATTTATTAATAGCTTCATGAAGTGTCAGATTTCACTAAGAGGCTACGACATATAAATAACGTAATATAAGTAGTAATATAACCCACTTGGAAAGATTCCCCGGAAAGTGCCCCCTGGAGGTTCTATCAGAATTCCGCCGGAACTTCGAACGTAATTCTGTTGGAATTCCATCGGAGTTCCAAAGAATTTCCGACGGAGTTCCGATTAATTTTTTCAAAATTTTTAGAGTCCTAATTCCGTCGGACTCCCATCGGAAATTCTTTGGTACTTCAATGGAATTCCGACGGAATTACGTTGGAAGTTCCGGCGGAAGTCTGATAGAACCTCCAGGTGGCACTTTCCGGGGAATCTTTCCAAGTGGGAAGGTAAAGAAATCTTCAATTTCTCCCAAAAATTGGTAATTTAAAAAAACAGAAAATTTATAACTGTCAATTATGCTAACTATTGTTTTTGAACCACTAATTAAGAAACTAATGTTTTTCAAAAAGCCTCTGATTTAAAAAAAAATTAAATGAAAAACGAATTATTAACCTTTATGGGACTGACGAGGTACCCGGGTACCTTTTGCATTTTCAGATTGTTTTTTTTTCGTAATTTTTAAAATCATACCGACCTACGGTTTTTTGACATCTCAAATTTATCCATATAAAGTGTTTTAATATTATTTATAATGTACCTTTCTTATTTATTTATTTGGAAATAATAAACAAAGTTTCTTCACCCTTAAAAGGCGGACAAGGTGCCCGGGCACCTCTGTACATTTCATGTAGATAAATGTAGAAATTTCTATTAAAAAATTATGAAAAACTACAATAAAAATTTTTTTTTTTAATTTTTATAGTAATGCACATAATTTTTTTTTTATAAAATATGTAATTTAGTTACTATAGTTAAATAATAATATTCATAAAAAATCGACATTTTTTAACTTAAAAATTACCGTAAAAATGAAGTTTGAATAGAATTAATTTCTATTAAAATGAATTTTAAATAATAAAAAATAAATTTCTTACATTTTTATATTTGATTTGATAAATAATCTGCCTAAATATGTACCTGTTTTGCAATCTAGCAAATATTATATACACGGATACTATTTAATGAAAAATCAATGAAATTGTGAATATATACAAAATACTTAATACGTAATGGACAGTTTTTGAATAATCAACCAATAATGATAATTTTTTATTAGCAAAAAGAAAATCTTATTTTAAGATGAGTCTTAAAATCAGTGCTGGTAGCTGTAATGGAAATTGCATTGCGTAAATTTATCAAAGTTGCCTTAAAAATGTTGCATCTTAAGAGGGGCGCCTACTTTATAGAAAGTCAAAAAAATGTGTAAATTTCAGGAATTTTTTTCTCAAACGCATTAAAATAAATTGATACGAGTTTTTGTGGATGTTTTCTTATATATTTAAACCTTCAAAATATAATTTTTTTATTGAAAAAAAAATGAAATTCAATAATAAAATAAACGTCATATACTGGCTGCTGAAATTTTCCTATTGAGTCCAATCTAGGGTCCACAATTCTTATCAAAAACAAAAAAACAAAATTTTTTCTTCAATCGTACATTAGTGCCTTCTGTATGAATAAACAATTTTTTTTAAAAGTTGAATTTAACATTTTGGTTTAAGAAAAAGTAAGTTTTTTTTGGCAAAAATTAAAACTTTTTTTTTTAAAGTCATGTAAAATTTTTAATTTTCACTTTTAGCAGCAAGGCGTTATATATATGACATTTATTTTATTATTAAATTTTATTTTTTTTTTAATGAAAAAATTATTACTTTTACAGTGTATTCGTATTATGTAATTATTTCTTTCATTGAAACGTCCACTACACTTAAAATTAATTGAACTTCTTATTTTAATACAAAATCTTTAATAAATTAAATATAAGTATCCGGGTGCCTCGTCCGCCCATAGAAGGTTTTTTTCTCAGTCCCATAAAGGTTAAATTTTCTTAAAAATTATTTAGTATAATAAGTATTTTGTAAGTTTTCTTCAACATAAAATTATAAATTATTTATTTTTTGTACACATTGCATTTTTTATATGTCTTCGCAAAGTTTATACTTTGTTTACCATTGGTAATTTAAATTAGTTACATAAATGATACGTTAATAAATTAAAATTAATTGCTTAAAGTAAAATTTTTGAAAATGAAGTTATATCAAGTGATAAATTAGACTGAAATTTGAAGGTAACAAAATTTTCACATTATACTTATGGAAACAAATAGAAACCCTATATAAATGTCAGTGCAGTTGTTACGTTTGAACTTGCAAACAACTACTTCTAGACATAAAATTTAAATACATAATTTACTGACATGTTTAATTTAATTGATTTAAATTTTAAAAACAAATTTTTGAATGCCTTGAAATTAATACTTATCAAAACTGATTGAACATCAATCCAAAACTTTCGTTATGATTATTATAATCTTTTTTAATATTAGAAGATTATTATTAAAACTTAAAACATATTTTTGGGAGACGTTTTTTAAATGATTAATTATTGAGTTGATTGTTTCCAATTGTTTTGTTCTCTTAAAGAAATTTCCTTAGTTTTTTAAAATTAATTTTCTATTGAATAATATTAATGTTGCGCAAAATTTTAATAACATTTTTATTATTATCATTACGAAAAGAATAATACGCAAGTAGTATACAAAATGTAAACAATGTTCCATTTTTGTTGAATTAAATGACTTAAACAATAATAATTAATAGCTATCACTGAAAGAAATAACTATGGAGTACAGCGATAATTATCGGCAGACGGACAATAATATATTGCTAATATAGATACTGTCACACGGTATCGGTGTTAAAGTCATACAATAATGGGTGACAAAGTATTTGTAAAGCTGCGATATATTATTTCTGCTACAGTTATATTTAATATTTCTAAATTAACCATATGTATTACTCATTTAACTTTACCTTGAAAACAGCTTAGCATGTTGGTTCCTTTGATAATACCACCGCGCCACATATATTGCAAAAAAATAAAAGAAACAAAAATTAATTTATAAAATTCTCAAACTAAATTATTTATGTTAACACTTTTTGAGAATCACTGCAATTATTAATCACAACACTGTAAAGTTTTATATCGAAAACTATTTGACGCAAGGGGAATTTAAACGCATTACCTAACGATTACGATCCCGAAACTTAACCACGCGACTATATTAACGCTTGAGAGTAAAAATTTTAATGACTGACAAATATAAATACTGAGAGACCTTTTGGACTGCAGCGGAACAAGGTAAGTGACAGCAGCGCCACTATGGTTTTGGTGTGCGGCTGTACAATTTTGGGAATGTGACTGTCCAAAATGTTAGTGAGTAGCTCACCGAAGTTGTGGGGACGCAACCTTTGGTTTGTAGCTGTACAACTTTTTGGCAGACACGCGCCCAAAAATGTACCTCAGCAACCCAAACGTATAGTCTCGTAGCTTACCAACAGAATGCTCCGCATTCGCCTGTCGAAAGTCAGAACTACGGTGCAAAAGGTCTCTCAGTGAAGGACTTGAGATTCAGAAGATTTTAAACAAACTTTCAAGTTGGTGTCGTTCATAGTTCAGATACTAAGCTCTAGCAGCGCGGCAACGGTGTGAACTAAGTTATACGAATATAGATTGGAAATTGTCGCAACTTGTATAGATAGAACAGAGATACAGCATTATTGCCATAAAATAAATATAAAAATCTCTCTTTCAAGCAAATGAATATTAGAACTTTGTTTTTGCTATTTCTATATTGAATAACTACACTATGTCTGTACTAACTTTACAGCAAATGTGCACGGAAAAAAATTTCTATTGTTATCAACTGGATCTCTAGCGCCATCTATAAAACCCTGTTCGAGTATTCACAAAACGCTGAGGTTTGTGAAATAAACAAATTTCATAGAGTGTGTCACAGTACAATTCGTTGCGCATGCGCTATGCATCCGTACAAATGGAAATCAGGTTGTGCTGTTTCCAATTTATGCGTTTGAAACACAATTTTCTTACAGTCTATATGACAATCTATAGAATTGTATTTTCTGAAATTTGTAGTGTTTTCGCTACAAGTAATTTTTTTCCGTGTGTGTATCAAAAAAATCTTCTATTCGACGTTTTTCCCAACATATAGTTAAATGAGACATGAGAGGTGTCAGGCATATTGGCTTTTACGTTTCTCTTATTTAAGTATCCCGAAACTACAATATATAAGCCAAGAAATGGTAAATTATATTGCAATTTTACAAACAACTCAACAAAGCATAATCGTATAGTTACAACAAATATATTATTTCTTTCAGTGTAACACATATAAAGTATAAAAAGGTGTATAATAAAAATAATTTTTTAATATTTCTATAAACAATTACTTTCCAAGTCATCCATTACAATATTTTCAAACAATTTGATACTTTTTTTTTCTATTGTCACCTTTATATTTCAGTCTAATTTATTATTTTTCTATAAAAGCTTAATTTAATAAACTTTAATTTTCATTCCATAATTTACCTTCATCTGCTATTCGAAAAAAAGTGTAAAATGTTTTAAATTGAAATAATAATAAATATTTCGACATTAAAGGTAAATATTAATCTTAAAATAACATTCAAGTACTTATGTTATGATAAAATTCTTGTGGAATATAAAAAAAACATGTGATCATGTAGATATACATAAATTAATTATTACTGACATTATTTTACAATTTTTTTTTCTTTTTAATTACAATGTGAAATAATATGCCGTTTATATCTATATGTTTTTCATATACATTCATTTTTCAATTTAACATTAGTCTAAGCATTCAATACTTTTTACTAATGTTTTTTAAGTTTTCAACCCTGTTCTCATACTTAAAACTTATTATAATTACAAATAAATATGAGAAAAAAATTTTTTTTTTCTTTGTGATACGTTATGAGAATTGTACAATAAAATCAGTAAATTTTATAATTATTTTCTAACGTATTAAAAATGGGGTTTTATCATTAAAATTAAGTCATATGAAAAGGTTTTTTTTGACAATAATGTAATATAATTAACCCTTAACTGGCACAATTCCTCGTTCGAACATAAATGGCACAACGGGTCAGTTGGACCCGACGTATTCAAACGTGTATTGTACAGCCGGTATTGAATAGGTTTGCACAAAAATTTAATCTGAGGTAGCTTATGATGTGTTTTTTTTTAAACATTAGTTTTACAGGAATTCATTTATTTTAAATTAGATAAAAAAAATTGTGAAAAAAAACGAAAAATTGCGTGTTTTTACTTAAAAATTCATGAGTTATTTAAATTTTAATATTATGACTTAAAAAATTTTAAGGTTATGATGTGACTTTTTAGAATAAAATTAAAATTTATAATTATTAATGTTTAAAGCTAATTTATTCTTTTGTACTTTTGTACTTATATATTAAAATATAAAAAATATTTAAAAGCTACACATTCAATTAATTTGAGCTCGAAAAAATTGCTCGGGTCCACTAGACCCATGGTGCCAATTAAGGGTTAATATTCAATAGTAAATTAGTTGAATTTAAAAAATTTGTACGTAATTACATAACTCTTAACAATTAAGATATTTCATTAATATTAATATAATACTGTTTTACAACTGAATTATTTTATTGAGCGTTGTCATTAGATCTTGATGAAAAATGATTAATTTATCTAAGTTTTTGTAATTTACTACTTATTTCATACCTATTATTTACAAATTCATTTAACAAAATTATATATACATAGTGTAACGTCGTCCAATAGTTAACAGATTTTTATAAACTTTCAAAAGAAATTTTTTTTTTTAATCGCCCCCTCTTAATCTGAATAACATAAAATGTCATTGTTTCAAATTTAGAGTATTCTCTGTTTTTGATATTTTCTAGAAAATATTTATACTTCAAATGACCTTAGAGGTAAAAAGTATAACTTTACATCAGTTTAAATTATTTTATATATACAATTCGTATTTCTTTACAGATATTTAGCAATGATTAGTTTTTTTTAGAGGATTCAATTAAAGCTTATGTACAATTTTGATCTTTTGATATATTTATTTCTCTTGCAGATTTTTAAGATTGCAAAGTTTCATTTCAAAAGATCAATATTTTGAAGATTTTTATATTACATTAAGATAAGTTTCTTTATATATAATTTTTTTTTTTTTTTTTTTTTTTGCAAAGCCTCACAAAAATTCAACAACCTATTCTCTCTGAAATTTTTTTTTGAGGAATGTTTAAATTTTTTCATACAATTTCATTAGATTATTGACAATATTTACAAAATTTTAAAACTAACGATTTCAAATATACATGGTTTTTCTTTTTTTTTTGATATTTTACAAATTTTTGTTTTTAAAGCATTTTTGACAGACTTGTTCTCAATATATTTACAGTAAAAACAGTTAAATTCTGTAAAAACAATATATATTTTAATAATACTAAAAAAACTTTTGTTAAAATTTCTATTTAACAAAAACAATTAAAAGAAAAACACAAAAGATTTGTAAACATATTTTGCTTCTTTCTTTTATAACAATATAATAATTTTCTTCTTCCTATCCAAAAAAATTCATTCTCATAACATTGTTTGTTTTTATTTAATTAAAACAATCATTCTTATGAGACTAATAACGTTTAATCAGTGAAAAATCGATTCATAAAATATGAGAAATCTTATGTAAAACAGTACCCATGTATTATTTCTAACGTAAAATTTATTGCTTTTTCAAATTCTGAAGCTGAAATTTATTATTATAATTTTTATATTATATTATAATTCAAGCGCAGATTTTGAAAGAATAATCAATTTTACGGTAGAAATGGTGTATGCCAATTTTTTTTAAATCCATTAAAAAAAAAACAGAATTCCTCAAAATCAATAGAAATTTTTCATCCCTCTAAAAGTAAAAATCAACTGTTGTATAATTTATGAATCAATTTTTACATGATCAGTGAAAATTATTTAACATAACATCAACTACGACAAAAGTGTTAATAATAAAGTAACAAGAGCAAGTTGAACACTATATTTTTGTGTGAGCAAAAATAATAAATTATTTGGAAATATTGAAGGTCCCGAATTATCTAATCGAGAACCATTTCCAAAACCTCCACTAGTTATTTCCCTGGCATTGTTAGTTGCTTGATCATTAGGTGAGCCTCGAAGTTGAAGTCCTGAAAGGAAGAAAAAAAAACGCTTTAGCATCACTTTGCATAAATCACTTACGCGTCTAAAATTGAGTGAAACTTTGTCATAAATCACTTTAATACTCAAGAACAGGAGATTCTCTGGGCCAACTTTTACTATATACAATATATATGTATATATATATACTATATATACAGAATGAAAAAGTTTCACACAAAAGTTTAAGGCAAGTTTAGGTAACTCGACGCGCCACGACATGGTGCAAATCCAAAGATCTCGTAACAACATACTTGACAACCCAGGCGACCGAGACCTGCTTTCAATAAAATTTTCGTTTATACATAGTATCTCCTCCTAGACATATTCGATATATATTTTTTTTTTTGTTAAACTACACAACAACTCTTAGAACTATCAAACTTTAAAACTTTTCAAGTTTCTTAAAAATTTTTATTTTACGGTATAACTTTTAGAAAAAAATTTTTTTTTAGACATATGCAATAGTTTTTAAAGGAAAATTGTGTGATTTTTTTGTTACTGTTTGTTGAATTACATTATAGAAAGTCATTATTTTTTTTAACGCAACCCTTTGTACAGAATTAAATTATAAAAAAAAGATTATTTAATAAAATGTTTTTTATTTTCAAAAATAATAATTCAATTAATTTTTTTATTTTTTATAAAACTTGGTATCTAGGGTTTTTTTTACCATGGGAGACCACAATTGTTAAAAAAAACCTTCAATATTTCGGAAAAAAGTAATATTTTTTTTAATACAAGGTTAAAATTTATTTTTTTTAATGATAAAAAAATTATCGACATAGAAATCTACATTACCGACTGATGGTAAAATAGTCGGTAATGTAGATTTCTATGTCGGTATTTTATATCATCACATTTTCCTGTTTTACCATCAGTCGGTAATGTATGTTTCTATGTAGGTAATTTTTTTATATCATCAAAAAAAAATAAGTTTTAACCTTGTATTGAAAAAAATTACTTTTTTCGATAATATTGAAGGTTTTTTTTAACATTTGTGATCCCCCATGTTTAATATTTAAAAAAATGTCATACGGCATGAAAAAATAGACAAAATTTTCTGTATATGTGAGTAATTACATTTTTACTTTCACTTTCACTTTCGAGTTTGTCTTTTACTTTAATTTTCTTTGCCATTTTCGCTTTTGTTTTGAGTTTACCTGCAATTTTTCACCAAATAATAAAAATAAAAATCAAAGTAAAAGTTGAAGTCAATATGAAATTACCTACATAATTGCAAATTAAATTTAGAAAGTAAGAGTATTTTTGAATATTAGAAACTAAAAACAAAGAGAAAGAAAGACGTGATTTTTTTTTTATATAACGAGTTATTTAAATAAATGAAAGTGATTTACACTTGAAAAGTAGTTAATTAGTTTGATTTTCAGTTAATTAAATTTACATTATCATAGGAGATATATAATTTAAAATAGTACTGTAGTTGAATTATGAGTTTTTAATATAATGTAAGAACTACTTATTTTTTATTATAGGTTCTGTCGAGAAAAGTTGAATAACAGTTGTGAAAAGGTATTTAGAAACTTTTACAAAACTTTTAATTAAATTTCAAGGAGTTAGATTATATCGGTCACCTTTCAGTTATATGGACAGACGATTTCTATGAAGTTTTCTATAGAAGAGAACTTATTTATTTAAAACTTTTAAAAAACACCATACTCCCAAAGTAAAACATTAACATCTATATTTGAATTTTTTTTTCTTCGTAAAACATAATTTATAAAAAAAAAAATAATGAGAAATAATCATTTGGATAGAAATATTTGTTTAAAAGTAAATTATAATTCATTTAAAATTTTTTGTTTTTTTTTACCTTTTTTTAAAGAGAAAAAAATGATAGAAAAATTCTATTACTGAAAATTATATTTTAATTCTACTTTTAATATAGTTTTTGAAAGTTATAATTGTCTTCAAGTTATATTGCGTAATTAATGATAAACTTTAGGTACCTCGATCTCTGCTCTTCGCTGCAGCTTGCAACTCGGCTACTTCATTTGAACTTGGTAGAACAGTGGGTATTGGCTTTTGTCTCATTCTTTGTTTTTTTTCTACTGAAATCGAGATTAAATGAATTAAATTTTTACTTATAATATATGATTTTAAAATTTAATGCTTTGAAATTAATTTATGAAATATATTACTCACTTCTAGTAACTGCTTTTGGAGCACTTGTAGTGGTTGTTGTAGTTGTACTTGTTGTCGTTGTTGTTGATGGTGTTGTCGTTCTTGGTATTTCTACAAAATATCAAATATACTTAGTATATATATACACTACAGTATAGAAACTTTCAAATTAAAATAGATAAAAAAATTTAATTGCCAGTTACTTTAAAATTTTTTTTTTTCTAAATCATTCCTTTTAGATAATTTTAATCATATTGAATGATACAAAATAAATTTTAAGGTAAAATGATTTATATCTTGTGACATTATCTTAAAAATTTGTAATTTTTACTATAGGTACATTATTTTAAAGTATGAAAATTCTATTCAGTTGTCATAGATTAGTTGTTAACGGTAAATTTACAAACGAGCGATAGTTTCAGTTATCTTGAACTACCTCATGTATGCTCAAAATGGAACCATCAAATTGCAATTTACCAAGTGGCGATTTATGACGACATTTCTACTTCTATCTCGTCTCCCTCTTCTTATCAGACTAACTGTATACTTAACTTCACATTCAGGATATTTTTCCTCGACTGAAGGAAATCGATATTTCCAAATAAAAACTCTTGACTTACTTACTCACTTACTCTTGGTTTATCTCACTTTCTTGGTTACAGTATAGATAAATTTAAAAAGTCGTATTAATCAACGTAAAGTGGTATGAAAGTAAAGTTAAGTATCTGTTTCGATAAATATATATAAAACTAAAGTCTCTCTTTTATTTTAATATTCTTTCTCAAGATAAATTTATGAATATAAATTGCTGTATTAAAAAAAACATTCTTAAAAAATAGAGTCATACATGAAAATGTATCTTGAAATTTTAAAGAAGAAGGGACGTAGGCCAATTTAGAAATTCAAAAAAAAACGAAGTAGAAAGAAAAAAAGTCGATAAACGACGTAAAAGAACGAGCCAAGAAACTGTCAGAGAAAAATTGAGAGGAAAGTTGTTACTTACCATAGAGCTTGATGGCTCCATCCGTACTCCCTAGTGAGTTCTTGGAAACACATTTGTATGTTTGAAAGTCGTACTCATCCACTTCTTTTATTGTAAGCTTCATGCTCACACTGTATCCATTCTCTAGACTGGCCACTATAGATGGTATGGAATTGTTACCTACAAAAATTTATAATCATTACTTTTTCTCATATGCAAATGTGACAATTTTACAAATAAATAATATTGAAAAGAAGAAACATAAATTCAGAGGATTACATTAATTCGAAAATGCAGTAAAACCGATTTTTTGTCTCAACGGTTAAAACCGCGTTGAAATGAGAGTGATACTCTCTACAATACGTACAAAGAGAGGTCTTACTCCTGAGGTAAGACCGCTGATACTCTCTGCAATACGCACAAAGAGTAAAATTCATGGGGTAAGACCCGTTGTTTTGAGGGTAAGGCCACTGATACTCTCTGCAATACGCACAAAGAGTATAACTCATGGGGTAAGACTCCTTGTTTTGAGGGTAAGGCCGCTGATACTGTCTACAATACGCACAAAGAGTAAAACTCCTGGGTTAAGACCGCTTGTTTTGAGGGTAAAACCGCTGATACTCTCTGCAATACGCACAAAGAGTAAAACTCCTGGGGTAAGACCCCTTGTTTTGAGGGTAAGACCGCTTATCGACCCTGTGAATCATTACAATTGATTAACTTTTTATTCTGTTGTGACATCCACATTTTAGTAACGCCCACAAAAAATGCTTAACTATTATTTTCTTATTATTATGGAATTATTTTTCTCAGCATAGAGTTCGATTGATGATACTTCGATTAATATTCCATCAAAATGGCATTAAGAAAAGTTTTTTAATGTTACGTTTGTGTTGAACATTTTTACACCTCGTCTTATGAGTAGAATCGACACAGATGACAATGCTACCAAAATCAGAAAAGACTATTTCTTTGATTTCCTATTTCCTATTGATTTTCAAGAACTAGCATAAGAAGTGACTCATATCTGACAAAAAAATATGCACCATCTTTCAGTTCAATTTTTCAATAAACATTCAAATCGTAAAGTGAAAACGTATTTTTATTGTTAGAACCTCATTTTGCAATCTTATATTCTGACTTTAGATTTAAAATCACCAACTCCAAAAAATCCCTAATATTTTATGATTTACCAACTTTGAGAATTTTATTTCCTCGTTTTCAATGAGAGACCAATAAATTACAAACAAAATGAATTGTAATTTAATGTTTATTCAAATATTTGTACTGAATCTTAAATGTAAAGTACAATATTTTAAAGATATAATACAATGAACAAATATTGAGAAAAAATCTTACGTTTGCGTTGTTAAACTTTATGATATCACAAAAGTAAACATCATAAAAGGGCAGATTGTTCGTAGATTCAGAATGAGAATAAAAAATTAACTAAATTATTCACAAAATAATTTACATTTCTATTTTACAAAAATTTTAACTCTCAAAAAACTTTTATTAGGTAATTTTTTTATCTTAAACATGAAACTAAATTTAGAATTAATTTTTCTTCTTATTTCTGAAATTGACGTAAAGTCAAGAGGAAATTGTTTTCACCTTGTCGGGTGCATGAAAAAACAAGCAGTAAAAGTATTAGGTCATAGTTTTCCCTGATATTTGATGTCAAACGTTAGGAAATTATTTATCTCGTGAGCGCGCGTAAAAAAAAAGAAAAGATGAAAGTCAAAGTATTGGTTCAGTACACTTTTTTCCTCACAGTAAAGAAATAAACGTATTTATGTAAAGTACGAAAAGGCAGGCACGCAGAAGCTTTTTTTTCTTCAAAGTTAAAAGCCAAAGTTCGATCCTCATAGAGAAATAAATAAAAAAAAGAGAAAAAAATCTGGAAAATAAAATTCCTCAATATCGTCGTCGGTTTTCTTGTGCTGCATACACGAACGTGTATTTTGTGCTTGATAGAGTAGAAAATTAGGGTTCTTCGCATGATTACGAGAAATCGACTTCCGTTGGATATGTACGGTTGAAAAAAAGCGATTCTTTAACAAAAAAAATTCTATTTCTCCAGTTTGACTGCTCTTTGATATTTAGCTATGTGAAACATTTATTTATTTGTCAATATCAAAAACTCAATAGTTCCTATTTATTATTTATTTAAAATTTGTATTAAAATAGATGTTCTATTTTTCTTTTTATTACGAATTTGGACTCTTGACAAAATCTTTCATAGGGAATTTTTTATTTTAAATAACAAAAGTATTTTTGGTCTTACCCCAGGAGTTTTACTCTTTGTGCGTATTGTAGAGAGTATCAGCAGTCTTACCCTCAAAACAAGAGGTCTTACTCCAGTAATACATATCTCTTTAAAATCTTAGTCTTCATAAAAACAATATATTTTTTGGACAAAAATTTTAATATTGCTTATACTGTCAAGGATTTATCCCACATATTTTCAATTAAACTTTTTTATAAATCTATGAAAGCAATCAAATAAAGTATTAATGTTAATTGAATTGTCAATATGGAATTTTTTTCGTTTCAAAATATTACATTGTATATATATTTTTTTTTAATTGAAAATTACTTTCACAGAAAAAGTATTTAGATGTTAACGAGAAAGTTTTGAAGCTCGCATTTACAATAAAAAAAGCGATAAAATAAAAAAGACAAAAACAAACGAAAAAAGATCTAGAGAGAGAATAGTGGATTTATTGAAGTAATGATCCGTAGTAAAGGTGGTAAAAGTATTTTTGTGTGACGAGAAAAAGTTATTGCGAGGAGATGCATTTATGGAGTGGCTGTGCGACCTCACGCCCAATGGATAGGAGAAAAACTTTCATCGGCTTTAAGTTTGAAAACCAAATGAAAAAGTTTAACTACGTCAAACTGCAATCTAACCGTTGCTATCATATAAATGTATTGGTAGAAATTCAATGGACAATACTGTATTGCGTATACGAGTATGTGAATGAAAAACAGTTTCGAAATTTCCATTATTTGCATTGAGATGCAAATCGAAACGTTAAAAGAACTAAATTTCAGTTTATAAAAGTTACATTTACACTATTTTAATTTTCAAAATCTGATTTTATCATTAATAAACTGAATTAAAATTGTTTTTCTTCCTGAAGTGCGCCAGGTATTTAAAAAAATGTATTTTCAAACTATTTATTTGATTTTACTAGTAATAAACTGTAAGGCAGTTAACATGTATTATATTTCAAATCCATTTTGATTTTAGTGTTTTGAACTTTGATGTAATATCTGATTTCTCTGCTATATGCGAATTGTAAACGTATAAACTAGGTAAACAAAAGCTGTGGTATAAACTACAGAGAGTTTTGGTTTATAGCAGTTAAACATGGTGTAACAGTCAGTCTTGACAATCAGATGTCATTAAACTTTTACATGCGGTAGGTTTACAACCAGCTGGTTGAAGTACTCTCAAGGTTGAAATTGGTCGTCGGCGGTTGTTTGGAAGTAGAAGAAGGCGCGTACTAGGAGACGACGTTAATGGCATCAGTAAGTAGCTTGCAACACGCTACACTGTTATATATAAGTTAAAAGAATTGACGGTCAATGCTCTGCAAGTTTACGGAATTTTTCTTTTTTTTGGAATTCTTGTTTTTACTCAAAACTTTGCACCTTAAAAATATCTCTATAAAATACTTTTAAAGCTAAAACAATCTGTTGAAAGTTTCTTCATAAAGTAGATACTTGTAGTTTCTCTTATGTTTTTACAGTAAACATTAAAATTTTTTTAATTTGCCTAAAAAAACTTGCTGTTTACTTTAAAAGTAATACAAGCTGATATATTTTCTCTAATCAACCTTTTGGTAAACACAGTTGACAATCACATTATTAAAATTGGAAAATTTGAAAATAATGTCAGTGAAAGTGTGAGTTTAACAGCAATGAAATTTAACTTAAACACCGTTTTTAGTCACATTGTACGCATGTTATTCGCGATTCGCTGACGTTTTACGCATGGTGAAACTATTTCGTACAGTAAAACTGCAGGTAAAACCTCTTTGTCTGTGGTAAAACCACTTATTTCATCCATCTGGGCTTTTAGTAAGACAACTTTAAGGTAAGACCTCTTGCGCGTGGTAAAACCACTTGTTGCATCTATCTGGGCTTGTAGTAAGACTACTTTAGGGTAAGACCACTTCGGACTGTTTGTCCTGCTGGATGCGTGGCTTTTATACACGATCGGTTTGGTCGAACGCATGCGCGGGATTTCAGTAGGGAACGCGACCTCCGATAAATTTGCAAAATAAATATATGATAATTTTCACACTCTTATATTGTTCAAGGTAAATTCTGACCTAAAAATTCGTTATAGTACGAAAAATAGAAAAAGTCATTGTTCTGATTAAAAACCATTTTCTTTTTTTTTGCAAATCTTGTTACTTCTTTGATAAATTAAAAATTACGACATTTAAAAAAAATAGAGACAATTATTTTCTGGTAATTTACTCTTCTATTGTTCGTTATTTCTTTTTTTTAGAAAAAAAACTTAAAAAAGAAATAAAAGCGAATGGAATGGTGAAAAGCTGTGCAAAACTGTTTAAACACGTAGGAAAAATTCGTTATATTACAATGCAAGTGTAATTTGAAATAACTTTTGATAAAGTAGTGAATATGTGCACATGTATGTTATCGGTATGAAAACTGAAGCAGATGGTGTACGCCACGCACGCCAAATGGTATTAGATTGTATACGCAGAATGCTGAATGGTGAAGTTATGATAACACTTCAGGGCATTTCATATATATATATATATATATATATAACTATCGTAACAGACAACTTGATGATCGAAGTTTTCATATATTTATATTTTTTTCTCTCTTCTGTATATAAAATGCTAAAATTTAAAACAAAGATTGCCAAAAAAAATTTTTTTTTTGTGAAAATAATTTAGAAATACCTTATCAAAATTATTTATCCAATTTTGTTATTTCCTTGCAATTTAAATTCAATCCTGCATTATTCAAAAGCAGCGAAGCAAAGGTGTACGCATTTCTTGGTGCAATGAACAGTTTGAGATTAACCTAATTAACTCAGCGATTAGCAGATTCATAATCAGAAGTTCTTATTATATATATATATCTCCCTCTGAAACGTAGCTTCCAACAGTTAGTCGCTTTCATAGGTGGAAGATTCATTATTCGGCTCGTTTGCCACGTGAATCGTATAAGGGATTTGGTGTGTTCATTTGAACACGTTTGTCTACTTTGTTGGAAAATCTAATGGTGCTCAAGTCTAAAGTTTATGCGACGGAACAATTAAGCGTTTGTTAGTATAGCTTTGAATATGAGCAATCGAATTTGCTTGCATTAATATTTATTGTGACGCGGCTTTTTTATAAATATCTAATAATAATAAAATTTTACATTAATAAAGGAAAACAGCATCAAAATGTGAATTCAGATACTTAAGAGAGTTTATATCAATGAAGGTTAATTAAATTTACTTTTCTCTGATTAAAACCTTAATTTTTAAAATGACAGAATCAGCCTGCCGAAATGAAATAAATATTCGTTAAAACAATTTAAAAAATTATTAACAAACTTATTTGTATATGTATCTCTGAGTTGAGAAGTATTACGAAGGGTCATCGACGCATTTTTTAGAGAGCGAAAAATATTTTTCCCTCTGTGTTATAATTATATCGATCGCCAGCATCATCGGTTAGAATGACTTTATCACAGGTCTTCGCTATGGGATGTTCTTTTGCCTTCTGATTTTAGCCTACAGAAAAGATTTGTATATAAAAGGCAAGAAAAATCTACGGAAGTCAATTCTTCTTTTTACCATCTTGCTACGCTATACGCTAAGCCTGAATTCCAACGCACTGAAAATACAACATATATCTTAGTGGATGAGGTTTTGAAATTTCTTCTCATTCTGTAATCTGTTGCTAGACTAATTGTCATTTATTTTTCAGTGAATGATAATTAATAGAATGGGACACAGATTCTTCTTCCAATTCAAATGTATTTTAATAAAGACTATTAAATAAGTTAATCAGTGAATTTATTCATTCCGTTCCCTTAGTTCAAAGCCTACTGCTTTGTAAATAAATCGGGGAAAAATAAAATTAAAATAATTAAATTATCTGTCCCTTCTGGAAATAACAGATTGTCTTAAATTCTAAAAACATATAACATTCACACTGTTCCTATTGTTAATAAACCTTTAAGATTAATTATCAAATAAGAAAAGGATCGAGGAATGAAACGAATATAGTGTATAAATTCAATTTGTAAAAACTGTTCTGCGAATTATATTGGAGAATCCCAGCGTTCATTAAAAATACGTATAAATGAGCATAAAAATAATAAGAGTAAAACATTTGCACAATCAGTAGTAGAATTACATCGATCAGAATTGAATCATGAGTTTGAGTGGGATAATATTGTTATATTGGATCGTGAATCAAAACTATAAAAAAATGTTGTTTTTCAGAAATGTTACATAATAAAGATTAATGATTTAACTATTAAAAAAGAAAATATAATGGATTTGAATAAAATTTACTTCCCTTTAATCAGTTTTAAGTTAATATCATTTCAGATATGGTAAAACTTTTACTAGAGAATATTGACTCTTGACCTGTTAAAAAATAAGTTCAAGATATCATAACTAATTAAGAGATATTTTTACGTCATCGTGGGAAGTGTTTTCTGACATGTGATTCCAGATTATACAAAACTAACAAAAGAACGATTCCGAGGAATGTTTACCATTGTCATCGAAACCGGAAATATTAGTCGAATAATTATTATAAGAAGTCGATAGCTTAGTTCGGTTAGTTTTAAAATTTGACTTCACATTCTTTAATTGTTTTCAGTTTTCAATTGTTTAATTAACTAAAATTATAGTAATATTTACCCTTTTCAATGCTTTCGTTATTTTCTTTCGTCCAGTAGTTGAGTGACCTTGGAAAAGCTTCAGAGATACACTCCAATGTAATTTGTTGACCAATTTGAACACCAACTAATTGATTTGGTATCACAATCATAGGTGGAACTGAAAATTTGTTAATAGTTTATAAAATATTCAAATGTAAAACAGTTTTGTGTTGTATAGGTAGGTCAATCATGTTACGACAATACAATACATACAATGAACAACGAGCATTATTCTCTTGCTGACCGTAGGTGGTATGCCATTAGACGCTATGCAGAGGTAGGGGCCCATGTGTAATCGATTAACTTTCGTTATGTTGAATTCAGAGATTGATACTGCAAATAAAAAAAAAGAAAAATACATAATATATTATCGTAAATTAAAGGATTTTCAGTTGAGCCACTGGGACAGTTAGCTTGATTTAAATCCAAAGTATCTAAAACGACCTCTAGAGCCACGAGATATTCTACCATACTTATCTCTTTAAGCTTTAGAGCAAGGATCAAGTTTAAAATCAAAGATCCATTTATATAATCTTCTTTTGTAATAATTTTCGAAATAGTATTAAGTTATTTAAATTCTCCTTAAAAAGCTTAATAAATTACATTTATTTTTAATTATATTTAAATAATTAGTTTTGAAACTAAAAGATTTAACGTTAATTTATATTCTGAGTATAATGCACATTGCGAACACAATATTAATACAAATGTTGCGATCAGGTTTCTGCTCTCGCGCTTCTGATACTAATCACCACAAATAGCATGTTGTAGTTTTTTTGTGACGTGCTCTAATCTATGTAAATATCCAATACCAGGTAGACTGCGTGTTTTCATTCGCAAAACCAATTATTCTGTTTCTAGGTCATTCGCAATGTTTGTCGACACTTCTTGTTCCTCTATGTCTTGCTTACAAAGCAATGTTAACACTGATATCATTTGAACTATATAACAGATATTACATCCAAAAAAAAAGCAGCAGCACTTTAGACATGTTCATTAAAGTAATTGCAAAAAAAAAAGTTGCACAGATTTTCCTTATACTCTTTTTTGACAAATACTTTTCTTTTGTTAAAATTTGATAAAATTATATAGTGTTTTTATTATCAACGTCAAAAATTTTTTAGATCTGTTTAGAATAAAAATAAACTTGTTTTATTATCATGAAAATTATCATATCTAAATCAATTAAGTAGAAACTATTAGAAATTTCGCTCATATGGAAAATTATTCATAAAGGGTCATTGGAACCATCGACTATTTCATCCACTGTGTCTGGTACGTAATTACGACAGTTAATCATATAACGTCTAATTTAACCACATGCAATGTTATCCTCATCTGTGATAATAGAGTTGTACGAATCATAGTGGAGCTTAACTGGTAAGATAATCTGTAATGACATTGTTCTTGACATTTATTGGTAGGTGTAGCATTATCATTTTACTATATCTTTCTATTGAATTTAATAATTTTTAGAAACTTAAAAAAATAAATTGATTAACATTGACACTTTGAGCGTGAAATAAAGCGTCGAGAAAAAAGTTATTCTCCACCAGATGTAGGTGCCACTAACGTAATAAAAATTATAACTGATTCTGATTGTCGCTGAAAGCCTCTGGGGGTCTAGTATCTAATTTCCATAAAACCCCGAACAAAATCGATTTTTTTTTTTTTTTTTTGTTGAAATTAATTAAAAGTAATGCGAATAAAAGTGTTAAGCATTTTTTTCAAATCTTTCTAAAAAAGGGAAATTTTTATTTTTAGAATTAAACAGTATAAAGTGATTCAAAGTTCTTTTTTGTTGAAAATGAAATTATACAATGAAAATTTAATGGTAATGAAATATAAAGGAAATTGGATAAAATTAATTTATATAAATAATGTAAAATTGAACAATCTTGGAATATCCGCTGCAATCTCTGAATTATATTTAAATTTCGAACACCGATTAAAACTAAATTATAACAAATTTTTATAAAGTTTAATTAATTAATAAAAAAAAAATTGTGAATTGTAAAATTGGTGGAAATTTTATGTTACAATAAATATAAATAATAACCTTTTTCTTGCTAATTGAGAGAAATTAATTTTTAACCCTACTTATTGAAGTAATATTTAAATGTTTTGGGAATTTATTTATTGCTTCACACAAGAGGATTTGCTTTAAAAGCAGATATTTCCAGTTTGTATATTTTCATTTCACTAACATCTCTTTGGTGAGATAGGTTGCAGCTTAATTTGCACCCTACCATTTATGTTATTGAAAATATTACTGGCATGTTTTAATATACGTGTGCATTAAATTTGCCAAGTAAACTTGGAAATTCAAGAGGACAGACATAGTGTCTGCTTTTAACTAATTAAAAAACAAAAATATTAACAAAAAAATTTTTCATAATTTTATCAAAGACAGAAATAAATTTTTAATTTTTTTTTAAATAATTAAAGTAATTAAATTATTTTCTCCTTTATAATGATTCTTTTGTTATCTGAACAAAAAAAGGATAGCTTATATAGCGGTAGAGAAGAGAAAGGAGTAATTACGTTAGAAATAATATGGAAAAGAGGGATAGTATTAAATTAGACAGTGAGGTGAAAAGGTCGACCAGAGGAACTCCTGAAGGAAGTGGAAGTAAGAGGTCCAAGAGGAGACAGGTTCTCATCAGTGTCAGCAATATAAGTACAATATCATTTTCAATAACTTTAAATCACTTTAAATAATACGGTACAAGGTCCGCATATTTAAAGTGAAGACGATCTAGGCCTTTTTGATGGCGACATGACAGGATTACTCCTGATATTGACAGAAATAAAATAATTTTAATTTAAATAATATTGTTTTCAATTTGTTATGTATGTACATACGTTTATATACAATATAATTGTATTAATAGTGTATATTATTAATGAAATAAAAAATCAACGATATTCAAAGTGTAAGTTCCTTTCATTAGCCTTCCAGTCACATTTCTAGTACTTGCTTTCAAATTTTTCGGTTATTAACAAATAGTTTGTCAGCTGGAAAAGAATGAGAAAAAGAGAGAAAAAATGCAAATGTTTAATAGCATTTGAAAAAGTTTTGTATTATTAATAAATTTTTGTGGTTTTTTCGGTTTTGCTTCTTGATGTGAAACGTAATCAAGTGGAATTTTCCACATCATGAAACAGAAGCAATTTTAATGTAAAGTAACTTTGAATATTTGGTGTTTCTCTCTTTTTTTTAAATTGGGATTATTTGACTTTGAAGATTAAGGGGGTATTGCATTTACCGAGAGTACATTAACCAACAGCAAAATAAGGGATGATGAGGTAGTACCGACGATGCGGTTAAGTTTTAGATTGAAAAAGTCTTGAATCCGTTCAAGCACACAAAACAAATCGATTTACCGCGTTTCGATACGCTATACTAGGTGAAACTTTTTACAAGTTATATTTTCTATTCTTGATTATGGAAAGTGCAATGGAGAATTCTAATTTTTTATTCAAATGAATATCAATTTATAATTTAAAATCATTTAGCAAATTGTAATTAATCTTTTAGTAATTACCATGTGGTAAATTATTTTTGTTATTACTATTGAGGCTTTTGGTGAAATATCAATTCTATAAATTTTTACAAGTTACCTACTTAATCCAGGTTAAATTGCATGGTTCAAGCATTTGGGTAGGTGGTTCTGTTGCGGGAGCTACCACCACAAACTCTGACCTGATAACCGAGATGCCTAGTGCACTAAACGTATATATATAGTCTTTCTTTTTCTTTTTCCTGGACATCTTACAGATTAATAGAGGATACTTCTCTTTAATCTGGAAGGGGTAACAAGTTGGATTACGTTGGGGCTGTGGGAGACGTTTGTACAAGTAGCAAAGACCATTCATTCTTTTTGCTCACTTTTCTTTCTGAAAACTATTCCCCAAAATTAATAGAGGAGACTTCTCTTTAATTCGTTGAGTGCAAGATATATTCAGAGTTGAAGTTGCTGGAGAGATGTCTGTGTGGCCGCCCCCCCCCAACAAAAAAGTATATAGTATTCCCAAGAGTGAATCATCCTTGAGTCATCAGTATTTCGAACTGAGAGTCAATCCTGTAATTTATTCGAGAAAACCAAATTGATTTCTTAACCGTAAATCATTTCAAGCGGATCATGTACTAGAATTATTGGCTGATCACTAACTTTAGAAGTTTACGAGGAATTTGTCTCAAAATTCAAGGAAATAACGTTCATCTAATAAAACTATTTAATGCTTTTAAGGATTTCTGGTGAAAAATCATCTGCAATTGTTTTTTTGAATATTAGGTACTCTATTCTAAACCCTAGATTAAACGTAATTAATTTCTTTGTCTAATGTTTATTTCATCTGCAGAAACTAATGGTGCTCCATTCATTCTTTAAATTTTAAAATCGATCTTCTTAAACCATGTAATTTTTTTTGCCAATCAGAAATTAAAATTAAAGAACACAAAAATATCGAATCTGTTGTAAACGAACATTAGTCTAATAAAAATTATACTTTCAATTTCAATGATGTTAAAATTTTATATGTAGAACAAAAGATTAACTTCCAAAATTTTGCACATAAAATGCAATGATAATAGTTAATTAATTTACAAAGAAATAATTTTACAGTTGTTCGTGAAATATAATAATCATTTAATAATAATTATCAAGAGAGTATGCATGCATATATATAATTTCCATTATCTCACCTGTATTAGTTCCAATTGGTGTCGTGCTAGACTCACGTCTCCAAGTGATATTAGGAGCTGGAGAACCAGAAGCAGCACATCTCAAAGTTACATTGCTACCTTCTCTCACCACCAAATCTGTACTTGTCGGATAGTCCAGGATATCCGGTGGAACTATAACAATATTATTCTTTTTTATTCAAAAAAATAATAGCCACCTTAACATTATCTGATAATAAGTCAAGGAATTAGGGAATAATTTAAAAAATTGTATTTCTTTTTGAAAATAAAGAAAAATTTAATTTAAAATAAATTTTTCGTTATCTGCTATAAAAATTGCAATTATTATATGAACATCTATGTATTTTATTTTTAATCTCAATTTTATAAAATGAATGCGACTATTTTTGATATACAATATTGTTTTACAAATATTTTGATAACTTACCCACAACATTCAAATAGCCAATCTGACTTTTCATAGGATCTGTATTTATCTGGCACATGTAATCTCCCTGGTCCGCTGGACGAACCTCCCGTATGTGCAAATACCATGTTCTATGATCGGTTTGTGTTACTCCAATTCTATGGTTTTTGGTGATCACGTGACTGGCTATCGTTAAAATTGTCTGCGTATTTACTCGTAGCCACGCAACCTACAACAAAAAAAATTTACCCTTTTTATTTTTATCACCTACCAAAAAAAAAAATTGTATTGGCATATATATATGTAAATATTGTATCGCGGCATTTTTTCACATAGAATAAATAAAAAAAAATCTATTAGTAACACACAATGGGAATCCAACAAAGGGAATTATTAATTTTTTATTAATAATTTCACTTATTTCATAAAAATTAATTTATTATTTAAAATTTTATTCTTTTTTTAAGTAACATGATAAATAAAAAACAAAATAATAGATGTTGGTTAAATTATTATTATATAGAAATATTTTTAATTTTTCAGTTATAAATTAAAAAAGATAGTTAAAAAAAATCCATTGTACTTTTTCACGTGAGAATTTTCTTAATTCATTAAAATTTCTGTTTACCCAATAAATTTCAAGTCCGAGTTCATTAAATATCATTTTGAATAATAAAAAAAAATATATATTCCCGAGAATCTTGCTAAATTATTATCAAATTACACTTTTCAATATGTTCACAAAGAGCGAGTTAGGTAAAGTACATCTATGGGGATTTTTCAAGAAATAAATTTGTAGTAACGACACGTTTTTCGCGTAAAGGATGCCAAATACGTGGTAGATTTATCAATTGAGACTATCCAGTAGTTGAACTCTATTTTTTTTAGATATATATATGTATAGTTTGACATTTAAAAATTCTTCTGTAAACCCGATAATTATAACGTTCAAACATCCCCTGCGCACAATCAGGAAATTATAATTAAATTCTGCCTACTATTGAGCGTAGTCTCTCTGTCTATATATATATATATATATATATATATATATATATATATATAGATTTCAGTGTTGAAACAAATTACGAGCTTTGTCGTTAAAATGGCTGTCCACAACACAAGCTTTAAATCTCTCAATCTGTTGTCAGTTACGTGAAGCAATTCTTCGAAATCTAACCATTACAGTCACTGATGTTGGTTTTAAATACAAAAACTCTCAGGCTTAATTTATATTGATATTCAAATATAATTTATGTTTTTGCCAAAACAGGTTATAATTTAATGTTTGATTTTAACAAAAATGTTAAATTAATGATGTTTTTTAATTTCTGGCCTAATGGATTTTTTTTATTATACTTAGTAATGGAATAACGCGTTTTGACATAGAATTTTGCGTTAATATTATATACTTTAGTACTTTAAGAAAATTAATATTTTCATTAAAAAGGAATATAATTAACAATAAAAAAACAATAAATTCAATAGCGCAACATTAATTTTAAAATACTTTCTTTTCGAAACACAAACACTTTTTACAAAATCGTCAAAAATACCAAGGATGTTTATCTTATAAATTTCTTAAATCCCGAAGATTTTGCGAATTTATACAAAAACGCGATTGCAAAAGGAAAAGTAATATAATGACTGATTTATTACGTCCTGCCGCCGTCAGATGGCGGAAGCATGCAGGAATTAATTTTTATCATTTTTATAAACAAACTTTATAAACATTCACACTTTACAGTTATTTCTGGGCAAAAAAATTTTTTTTTTTTTGTAAACTTACTTTGGATTTTTGCGCTTAAATTTCCTGTCCATTAAACAATTGTTTTGCAATAAAAATACTCACTTCAATTCATATAAAATTTATATAAACAAATACATTGTTCCTCAATTTTTGGTTAGAAATTAATTAAATTTTTAATCTATTTAGAATTTAATTCTGAGTTAGAGAAAACAATAATTTTCGAATTTGGTTGATAATTGTGATCTAAAACTTAATTTGTGTTAAAATATTAAATAAAATTATTAAATATTCCAAAAGAAAAATAAGGAGAGATAACAATAATAGAGTTGACTGGAAGTCTAGTCATAATAATCCATTTATGACACCCTATTATATTAGTTGTCCTTCTATACCTGAATATTGAAATTATAATAGTAATATTACTTAAATTTATTGTTTATGTTTCGTTACGATCTGTCGTCGTTAGATGGCAGAAGCATGCAGAGAGCACAAAGTCGCAGCTATTTAAAATAAACCTTTTTTAAAAAATAAACTAAAGAATTATCAATTGGATAAAAGATTTTAAATAAATTATGTATTATTATTTTGTCAAATTAAAAATAAAATATCCAAATATTCTTGTAAAATTTTTCACTTTTTTTCATTTTTAAAAAATATTTAAAGAATATTTTTAAGACAATTTATAATATTAATTTATTCACAATACAAATCAATAATCTGAAAAAGTAAATTAATTAGATGTTCTATCATTTAGATATTTAAATTTTTTTAATTCAATTATTTTTTTAAGTAAATTTCCTTAACTTTTTGAGCGTAAAATTCCGTTTTATTAATCAATTGTAGTGAAATAAATTTTTTTTATATTTTGTTAACAATTTGTATTTATGTACCGTATTATTTGGTCAGAAATTAAATGAATTTTTAATCTGTTCAGAATTTAATTCTGAGTAATAGGAAACCATAATTTTAGAATTTGGTTCATAATTGTTATCTAAAAGTTAATTTGTGTTAAAATATTAAATTAAATTATTAAATATTCTAAAAGAAAAATAAGGAGAGATAACAACAATAGAATCGACTGGAAGACCAGTCATAATAAGCCATTTATTACACCCTATTGTATAAGTTGTCCTTCTATACCTGAATATTGAAATTATAATAGTAATATTACTTAAATTTTTTTGTGTATGTTTTGTTACGATCTGTCGCCGTCAGATGGCAGAAGCATGCAGGGAGCACAAAGTCGCAGCTACGTAGCAAACAAATAAAACATGATGGTGGAATCAATTCTCTAACTTCATGTTTGTCAACAGTTATACTTTCAAATAAAATAATTTACTATAGAGACGAAATAAATTATTCTTTAATATTGTAAAAAACCTATAAATTTATTAAATAACAACTTTGAAAATAACTTATCTTTTCTAATGTTAAAATAATTTAGTAAGGAAATTAATTCGTTTAATTTAATTTAATAAATAAAAATTAAGAAAATTATTCTCATTGCAAGAATTAAAAATAATATATGAATTGCTTGAAATTTAAAATTAAGATATTCTTTATTAGCCTAACTTTAAAAATTGATATTTTGATTTCTTGAAATTCTCTTTAACTCACAAAAATTCTCCTATACATTTTTTTAGGGAACTCTTTCGTGAGAACAAAAATCTTATTGTCGAGGAAATTTTTAACTTTATTTTGACACATATTGTAATGTACACGATTACAAAAATTATTTTAATATAAGTTTAATTTTGGTTGTTCAGAACAAATTTTGAATTAATAAAATACATGATATATATTATAATATTGTTCTGAAATTGAAGCGATATGAAAGAAAACAATTTTTTTAAAATTAATTTTAAAACTAACTAATTTTAAATTACTTACGTTTTTTGTAATATAGGTTGTTTTAAACCTATAAAGTTTTTTCAAAACCGTGAATTTAATTCGCAAATTTTAGTGGCCACCTTATTTTTAGTTAGTGAAAGAGCAATTGAAAATAAATGCTATATAAGTTTTAATTTCAACCTTTGTAATATTGTATACACTTTATTTTATTTCTAGAGGAATGTGTAAACTACTTATAACAATAATTTACCTAAAGTTTTTCTTCAGTAATTTCTTCCAAATTATTGTTTTGGTTTTTGCAATCATAAACAATTATTACACAGCCCCACAAAAAAAAAAATTTCATGTACTTTTGACCGGAATACCCTAACCCTATGTATTTTGACGCGCTGAACACTAATCCGAAGTCCGTTTTGCTCCATCACGTCAGGATTTTTTTCTAACCTCAAAAAACATGTCGGATTTTGAGAAGTAAGCGATTTTTTTAAAAATTGATGTATTAACTTCAAACTTGGTATCTGGGGGTTTTTTGTGTCGCTGATTACGAATCTGAAGTTAGATTTTCAAAATTCAAAATGGCGGATCCAATATGGCGGACGAATTTTGAAAAAATTTTAAGATTTACTTCAAACTTGGTATCTAGGGGTTTTTTGGGTCGCTGATTACGAATCTGATGTCAGATTTCCGAAATTCGATATGTTTGATTCAATATTAAGGAATTATTTTTAAAAAATTGTCAGATTATTATGAAATTTGGTATGTACAGGTTTTCTAAGTTGCTGACAAGTAACACTAGGGAAGTGCCATACGCCGATTTTTCTGAAACTTGGCAGTTTTGTAGTTTTTTGAAAACAATTTGACACGTATGTTTTGTTTTTCCCCAAAAGCTGATTTATGGGGGGGGAACTACCCCATGAATTTTTTTTGGTAGGGGGACATTATTTTACGAAATTTTTTTAAAATTAATATGCAAAAGTGTATCTGGGGGTTTTTGGGTCGCTGATTACGAATCTGATGTCAGATTTCAAAAATTCGAAATGGCGTATCTAATATGGCCGATAGAAGTCCATGTTGAATATGCCATTTCGAATTTTTGAAATCTGACATCAGATTCGTAATCAGCGACCCAAAAAACCCCCAGATACACTTTTGCATATTAATTTTAAAAAAATTTCGTAAAATAATGTCCCCCTACCAAAAAAAATTCATGGGGTAGTTCCCCCCCCCATAAATCAGCTTTTGGGGAAAAACAAAACATACGTGTCAAATTGTTTTCAAAAAACTACAAAACTGCCAAGTTTCAGAAAAATCGGCGTATGGCACTTCCCTAGTGTTACTTGTCAGCAACTTAGAAAACCTGTACATACCAAATTTCATAATAATCTGACAATTTTTTAAAAATAATTCCTTAATATTGAATCAGACATATCGAATTTCGGAAATCTGACATCAGATTCGTAATCAGCGACCCAAAAAACCCCTAGATACCAAGTTTGAAGTAAGTCTTAAAATTTTTTCAAAATTCGTCCGCCATATTGGATCCGCCATTTTGGATTTTGAAAATCTAACTTCAGATTCGTAATCAACGACACAAAAAACCCCCAGATACCAAGTTTGAAGTTAATACATCA